CAATCAAATACTTTCCATATATATACTTGAAAGTAAGAGTGTAAATGGGCTAGGCCGGCCTACAGAGGCCTACTGCCTAGCCTATATATTAGGCCAGACTTAGTCAGCTATTATAAATAGTAAAATAGAACAGTCCTAGGCTTTTAAAAATATCTATTTAAAAAATAGGTTATAGACTTTTTTGTACATGTCTGGCCTATAAGCCTAAATGCCGGCCTATATCATATTATTTATTTAAAATATAATAAATAAAATTATTATTTTAATAATTTTGAGTAATAAAATAATATTATTTTAGTTATTCTTTTAATTGTTAAATGTTTAATAGGCTTAAACAGGCCAAGACTTTTATTGTTTAAATATAAGTCAGGACAGACTTCTAATTTGAGGCCTACAGAGGCTAATAGGCCAGGACATACCTAATGCTTTTCACACAAGTTTGGCCTATTTAAGTCAAAGCATAGCCGAGCCGAGATCATTTACACCTCTACTTAAAAGCATTAAATGCTGGGAATCATAACCATACAAAGGATGAAAGCATTACATGTGGGGAATCATAACCATACACGTCGTTGTTGTACGTAAAGCGGTTGCAGAAATGATTTTACCTATATATATATATATATATATATATATATATATGGGGTTTACATTTCTGCAGCTGTTGTACGTGCAGCAATCAAATACTTGCCATATATATACGTGAAAGCATTAAATGTCAGGAATCATAACCATACAAAATATGAAAGCATTAAATGTGGGGATCATAACCATACATCTGTCGTTGATGTATGTAAATCGGTTGCAGAAATGATTTTACCATACACATGTCGTTGATGTACGTAAAGCGACTGCAGAAATGATTTTACCTATATATATATAGGGGAGAATATTTTTGACTCCAGAATAAGACTTTTAAGTTTTACTACTCATCTCATCAGTTGATGGACGAAAATCAATTGTTGTCATTTATAGTGTAATTAATAATTATTAATTAATATAACTTTTTAAACTATAACTTTTGGATGAGCGAAAATCAACGGCTAGAATTGGAGGTAAGACTTATAAGTTTTACTCTGAAGTCAAATGATTTCTCTCCATATATATATATATATATATATATATATATATATATAGGAGGGATATTTTTCACTACCAACTTACTACCTATCTAATCACCATTAGATTAACATTTTCTCTCTCTTCAAACACTTTTTAACATTCTCTCTCTTTGATCCAATGGTGATGTGATGGGTAGTAAGTTAGTAGTAAGAATTTTTGGTAGTTAGAATATCCTCACTCATATATATATATATAGGGGAGAGATCTTTTGACTCTAGAGTAAGACTTACAACTCTTAGTCCTCATCTCAAACGTTGATTTTCATCCATATAACGATTATCTATACCAATTAATTAATTATTAATTTCAAATAAATAATAAGAGTTAGATGGACGAAAATCAACAGTTGAGAGGGAGGAGTAAGAGTTGTAAGTCTTACTCTAGAGTCAAAAGATCCCTCCCTATATATATATAATATATAAATAAATAAATAAATATATATATATATATATATATATATATATATATATATATATATATATATATATATGGGGTAAACATTTATGCAGCCACTTTAGATAAACTTATCTACAACCATTATTTTTAACTATGTTCTCCCGGGAGAACATAGTTATAATATTAAGTGCTTGTTTGGATCCTCTTTTTTTTAAGCTAGAAGCTACTTATAAGCATAAGCTAGGCCAAACAGGTTTTGAAAAAAGTTCTTATAACGAAAAGCTCTTTTTTTTATAATGAAGAAAAAAGTTGAAAATTAAAAGCTCCTAGGAGGAGCTTTTTTTTAGTGCCTGTTTGGATCCTCTTATTTTTAAGCTAGACGCTACTTATAAGCATAAGCTAGGCCAAACAGGTTTTGGAAAAAGCTCTTATAATGAAAAGCTCTTTTTTTTATAATGAAGAAAAAAGCTGAAAATTAAAAGCTCCTAGGAGGAGCTTTTTTTTAAGCTCTGATCTGTTCTGTTTTTCTTGAATTATGTGCTTTTTTTAAAATGAAGAGTGATAAAAATAGAGAGAGAAATAATTTTCTTGAAATATGTGCTTTTAACTAATTTTTAAGCTAAATTTTTTATGTAATTTCCAAACAGCTTTTAGCTTCTTTTTTTAAGCTCTTTTTTTTAGCTTTAGCTTATAAGTAGCTTCTAGCTTAAAAATAAGAGGATCCAAACAGGCTCTTAAACTCTTATCTGTTTTTCTTGAATTGTGTGCTTTTATTTAAAATGAAGAGTGATAAAGATAGAGAGATAATTTTCTTGAAATATGTGCTTTTAAGTAATTTTTAAGCTAAAACTTTTATGTAATTTCCAAACAGCTTTTAGCTTCTTTTTTTAAGCTCTTTTTTTTTTTAGCTTTAGCTTATAAGTAGCTTCTAGCTTAAAAATAAGAGGATCCAAACAGGCTCTAAAGTTGCCTTTTTTTCTCTCTCCTCATTTACTTTTCAGAACTTGTCTGCTGACATGGGAAGAGAGAAAAAACCAACTTTTAGTGTTATAATTATGTTCTCCCGGGAGAACATAGTTAAAAGTGGTGACGGTAGATAATCTTATCTAAAGTGGCTGTAGAAATACTTCGCTATATATATATATATATATATATATATATATATATATATATATATATATATATATATATAGAGAGAGAGAGACTCGCTTCTTAATCTCTATTTTGATACATTTATGGTAAAGGTCCTTAAACTTTCTGAATTTTGTATTCAAACCCTTTCATACATAAGTTAAACAAAAATAGTTTATTTAATAAGTTTTATTTTTTAATTAATATATGTGATATTCTCTCATTAGTATAAAATATTTTTAAAAAATAAAAAAAAACTAAATTAATCGTTTTAATTTGTTTTTAATATTTGAAATTTTTGAAATTTTCTATTGCATAAAATTAAAACGAGAGATTTTTTAAAGATATGTACAAATTAAAAATTTCTATATACTAATTAACTCATAAAATAATGTGATTATCAGTTTCAATTTAATCAGTAAATAAAAGGAGTTTAGTGATAATTTCATAATTAAAAGTCATGAAGTTATAGGTGAATGAATAATATTAAATTGGCATTGATACAATGTGATATAAATTACAAAGCGTTATTCCATATTTATGCTAATATTGAGACCCTAATTAAGTAAAGAAATGAATCATGAAACATAAAATAAAATAAAAATTATTAAGATTCTATTAATAAAAAATTATTAAGAAATTATATAAGATATTAAAAGTTGTTTTAAAATACATTAAGATATTATGAAATATTATTCATATACTCTAATATCCACCATAATTTGAGTGATTTTATAAAGTTCAAAGACCTGTTCCACTAATTTTTTTTTTCTAAATTAACAAACATTATTCCGTGCAAGAATATTTTAAGTTTAGATAAAATATAAAAAATTAAATTGAAAGATATTTTTTAAAAAAATCATATATAATTTTTAAAAAAATATACGTAATTAATTTAAGTAGAGTTTAGAATATAGATTAAAAATTGTTCGATTAAACCGTATAATGATACCTCAAGGGTATGCGCTCAGAGATATTCTATGGATAGGTATTTTTGTTGGCTTATAGCCAATATCTCCATCACTGCGCACAAGCAATAGGCTTATAGCCGAGACGTGAGTGTGTGCTCAGTGTGGGCAGAAGTAGTAAATGAGTTCAGAGTATCTACCTGGGGTCTTTAACCTCTTATTTATAAGGGTTACCTCTTGGGCTTATGTAGATCTCCCCGTTGTAGTTGAATTTAACTTCCTTTCTGTCTGTTGGGATAGGGACTCTAGCCTTACTGTTTTATATTGTTAGGATAATTGGGTAGTTATTCTTTAAGGGATCCTTGGGTAGGTAGTTAGGATATGAAAATATTTTATAACAAAAATAATTAAAATTATAAAAATGTATAATTAATTTTAGTAAATTCAAATAATCTATGACGATCTATATGACGGAAAGTACAATTAAATAAGTCTTTATATATTATTTGAGTTTGTAAATAAGTCTCTATAATTTGATAAAAGTTAATGAGTAAGAACCTATTTAAAAATAAGAACCTCTTTAACAACTTTTAAACAAAAAGCTTATTGCCAACAAAGTGGACACAATTGATTAAGGGATATATTTTTCTTATGTTGTAGGAAAAGAATTATCTTATGTTGTAGAAACAAAAGTATAAGTGGGACCCACATGTAAGAGGAGAGAGAGAAAAAAAATGGTGGGACCCAATCCCTTTTTGTGTGTGTAGGAGAGATGTTTATCTCATGTAAAATGAGATAAACATAACCCATTGATTAATGGTTTGGTTGATATCTAAAGTGTGAGTTTAAATTCCGTTGGTCAATGTGAGAATTTTATTGGTAAGTAACATGTAATTTTTTACAAAAAAATTCAAAGAGATTTGGGGTCTTTTCTAATTTTAGTGAAATACTGGTATCTAATCTTATTTAAACTTTTTTATTTAAAAACAAAAACAAAAAGCTTATTTAAAATTGGAAAATGATTTATTTGTAATTTTTTTTTTGTACAAATTTACAAATTACACTATGTCTGAACTGTCAAACTTCACTCAAGAGTGTATATCAATCAGATATAGTATAGTTTGTAAACAAAAAATTTATAAATATAACTTTTTCCTTAAAATTTTATAAAGTTATTACAACCTACAATATAATTTAATAATGATGATTTACAAAGTTAACTATCCTTAAAATTGGCGTGCCTACGTAAAAATTTCCAAAAATACTAGGAAAAAGATCGTGTGTACTTTACGCGGGCCCAATGATTATGTTATCTTATCTGGAACATCAAGATGAATGGATGATGATGTTCCTCTAATGATGCCCTTTTAGCGGCATTCTCTTACAAGACACAAACCTCAACTTCAACCAAAACCTTATCTATCTAGTTACTTGTATCTAACTATCACTTCTACTATCTGTCTATTTCTCTCTATCTTTCTTTCACATGAGTTTTGTTCTCTGATTTCTTTAACATCATTTCAATGGCAGCAATTATCCCCTGTCACTGCTTTGCTTCTGCAGCCACTACCCCTACATTGTTCAACTCCAATACACGCTTTAAACGTCTTACATACCCAATTTCTCTTACCAATGCTGGACTTCGAGGTTTCAATAATCGTTGCTCTTACCAACCACCCCAACATTCTGAATTTCAGAACAAACATGTAAGCGTCTTAAAAATTTGATTTTTTTTTTTTTTTAGATGCTCTTTGTTTCACATGAATGAAGATTATGCTCATCTGGGGTGGGGGTATGATACTTCATCAGCAATCTTTTGGTTTAATCTTCTTCAGAATGGATATTTGGGTGTTGAAGTTTGCATTTTATTGTTTCTTTCTTCTCTCTCTCTTTTTTTTTCATGTCATGTTGACATACAACAAATTTGTAAAACAATAAATGGGAATAGTATAAATGGATAGATAAGACAACAAGACTGTGAATGAACTTATGAGAATAATATCTAAAGCAAGTTCTAGACATCTTGGTGTGGAAGATAAACCCTAAGCAAGCCACTAGGACTGGGCTATGGTAAGGGGGTTTTAAATTTGAAACAATCTGCATCAAACATCTGCAGTGTTGCCTTCAAGTAGAAGTTAGAACTATTGCACTTGAAAGCAGATTTAATTGAATGGGGCTTGCATTTGCCCCATTCCCCATTTACACTCAAGTATTCCAGCCTAGAATTAAAAGCATTAAGCAAACTATTAGTGTATTATTAATGACTTGTTGTGCCCCTTACGAGTTATGATTAGTTGCTTCAATCTCCTGTAATACTTATAAATTATAAATAGTTGGGAATCATATGCATTGCTAATTTGCTGAGTTGTTATCTCTGTATAGATCTTTTACTTTTCTGTTCATTTACCTTGTCTTCTTATGTTTTCAATGTGACTTGAGATTGCTACAATGTATGGTTGAAGCTCCAAAGCTTATTGTGTTATATTTTGGTGCAGGAAGGGAGGTCATTTTCCTTCAAGAATTGCGCGATATCTATAGCACTTGCGGTTGGGTTAATAACAGGAGTTCCTACATTGGGGTGGCCTACCAATGCCAACGCAGCTAACCCTGTGTTGCCTGAGCTGTCCGTATTGATATCCGGCCCTCCGATTAAGGACCCTGGGGCATTGTTGAGATATGCTCTTCCTATTGACAATAAGGCAATTAGAGAAGTACAAAAACCACTTGAAGATATTACAGAAAGTCTCAAGATTGCTGGAGTCAAGGCACTTGACTCTGTGGAAAGAGTAAGACATAAGATTCTTATTCTTTTATCTTGGAGGTGTATTGACCATGCATATGGTGTTTGAGCTTCTGTGTTTCTTATTTTCCTTAGGATATAAATTGATTTATTTACATGGAATGTAGAATGTGAGGCAGGCATCTCGAACCCTCAAGCAAGGGAAGACTTTAATTGTATCAGGTTTAGCTGAATCAAAGAAAGAACATGGCGTTGAACTGCTCAATAAGCTGGAAGCTGGTATGGACGAGCTTGAACTGATAATACAGGATAGGAATCGAGATGCAGTTGCACCAAAACAGAAAGAGCTTCTTCAATATGTTGGAGGGTGAGTATCTCAATCACTAAATCACTTACAAGAACCACATAAGGACCCTATCCTTCCATACATGTGCTCAATGAGAAATAGGATGACTATTTTATCTTTTTAGACGAAATAGGTGATGGCTTGTACCACATTAAATGTTTTCGCTTTTCATTGTGTCATGATGATTTGTACTATAAACGTCTGTTCTATTTGTCAGTTATTAAGAAAGGGGAAAATATCTTCAGTATTCCCGTAGTGTTGAAGATTGAGTACATCTTTTACTAAATTGGGAAAAAAGTAAGGTAACCAACTTTTCCCATTTTACCCATCCTTTTTTGGTTATTGACATCTACGTCCCATGTTTTCCTATTTTTAGTAAATGAGTACATACTCCTGTAGTACCAAAGATGTGCTCCATAAAGGGGTCTTTGTCAAGGGTTGGTTGCTTCGATGATATAAGTAGGCTTTTAGCTTAAATAAATCTATAGGGTAAAGTAATTAAACCTTGACCAACCATCAACCTAGTCAACAGGTTAGGCCATTGGTTCAACTAGTGGATCACCAGTGAATAGAGTTATTCAGTTTATATATAACCAAACCATGCTTAAAATCTAAATGTCTGACTTACTGTGCCACAAGGAGTTTGTTAGCAACAGGCCCCCAATCAGGGAAGTATATGTAGAAATAAGGATGGGCCCAAAGAGCCAAGTGGGGCAGCCTCTGTTAGTTTGGCCTTGTTAGTTAAAGTTGTTAGAGAGGTTTTTAGAGTCTGTTAGTTAGTCCTCTAACAGCAGTAGCAGAGATGGGATATAAATAGAGGGAGAGAATGTAAGTGAATCAAGTTAGTTGGTCAGTTTGTTTTGGAGGGAGAAATTAGGCTCTCAAATTCTTGGGGAAGTTTCCTTTTGTACACTATTCTTCTCTTGTGATCTTTAGATGCCCATTGATACAGAGTTGGAGGAGGATATTCAATGAAATTCTGACATTTTCTTTCTATTGTTTCCAATTTCTGGTCCAGTTCTATCAGTCACATTTAGTCAATTATCCCATAAAAAGCTCTCAATTGGACAACTTGATAGTGCAAACTAGATTGGCAACCAGTTTATTAGTACATTTTTAGAGCTTTTATTTAGACAATTACAAACCCTACACAGTTTAGCATGACCATGACCCCTCAAGACTGATTTGGTTGATAAAAACCTGCTAAGTTTGATCTGCTTTGACTTAGCTGTAGGCTTTACTTGGCCTCTGGTAACCCGATTCATCAGTCTTAATTGCCGGGCCAGGTTTTATAGCTATACTATTCATGCCTGCTGATGAAAATCCGCCGAGTTTGATTGCTTCTGACTGGATTGAATGCAATTCCAGTCCAATTAGAGAACTAAATCGCCCTGGTCTCTGGATCATCGGTCTAATCAACTGCGCTGGGTTGAGTTTTGTTACAATTCCTGTGAGGGGAAATTGCCATGATTTCAGATGTCGAAACAAAACTGTATCCTCCTTCTAACAATTGAAAATTGAGGAGGACTAGGAAGATTAATCTTCTTGAGAAAGACTTTTCTCATATATAACCTTTCATTGACTGCAGCTGAGATGTTCCTGGGGCATTGCATTTCTGCAGTGTTGAAGAAGACATGGTTGATGGCTTCCCATATCAAGTACCTGAGGAATACCAAAATATGCCTTTATTGAAGGGGAGAGCCGCGGTGGATATGAAGGTCAAAGTTAAAGACAATCCAAACCTGGATGAATGTGTTTTCCACATAGTTCTTGATGGTTATAATGCCCCTGTAACTGCTGGAAATTTTGTTGACTTGGTAGAAAGGCACTTCTATGATGGCATGGAAATCCAGAGAGGTAATAAATCTGATGTTTATTGGACATGTATTTTTGCTCTTGATTTCCCTTTTAGTTATAGCTGGTTTGGAAAAGAATGTTTTAGAACAGACACTATGTACACTGGTTTTACTCATTGCACAGAGCCACAAATGCAGGAAATGACATGAAAGGTTGTATACATTTATATTATTAACAATTAATGAGACTGAATTAACAGTACTTTATCTGTATGTGATGGAAGCTGAATTATCCTTTACCATTGTTGAAGTCTGTAATTTTGTATATGGATATCCAAAATTGGTTTCTCTGTCTTGCTGCCCTCTTTAGTTACACTTTCACAAATATAGTCTTGAATTTTTTATTTTATTTTTGCAGCTGATGGGTTTGTTGTCCAAACTGGTGACCCTGAAGGCCCTGCTGAAGGTTTTATTGATCCAAGTACAGAGAAAACCAGGACAATACCATTAGAAATTATGGTGGTTGGGGAAAAGGCACCTGTCTATGGAGCAACTCTAGAGGTAAGCTTTAATTGTTTATCACTCTTGGGGCATGTTACATATTTGTACATTTGCACTTGTATAATGTGTTAGCAAACTCAGCCAGGAGTGAGCTAAGTGTATGTGAGTCAGAGAATTACAAGAAAGAGTTAGCATTTGAATTAAGAAAAAAAAAAGTTGTGTGAACTTTATGCATTTTTAAAACTCAATGTTGAAGTTATTAGATACAACCTATCAAATTCAACTACTAGTTTCTTGCATGAAATTTCACTTTATATCATGTTGAACTGTATTTTATATTATATTTCCAAACATGTTCCTCATATGTTCTCAAGGTTGAAAACTTTCTCTTTTGTTGTTGGATATAATCTGTTTGGACAGGAGCTTGGTCTATACAAGGCTCAAACAAAGCTTCCGTTTAATGCATTTGGAACAATGGCAATGGCAAGAGATGTGAGAAATCTATTCATTGACATCACCATTCTTTGAGCATGCTAATCTTTTTTGCTTTTATTTACTCCTTTTATGTTGTTGAATAGGAATTTGAGGACAACTCTGGCTCTAGCCAAGTATTTTGGCTATTGAAAGAAAGTGAGCTAACTCCAAGTAATGCAAACATATTGGATGGTAGATATGCAGTCTTTGGCTATGTAACAGAAAATGAGGATATCTTGGCAGATCTCAAGGTTGGTGATGTTATAGAATCTATTCAAGTAGTCTCTGGCTTGGATAATTTGGTGAATCCAAGCTACAAGATTGCTGGCTAAGGATCTTTTTGTGCTTAATGCTATTGAATGCTGCACATGAGTGTTTGTTAGCACTTGCTTCAAGGCTATTAGGGAATGGAGGCTGTGACATTGCAATGTTCACTTCACCAAGTTTGTTTCCATTGTTCTTAGAAACCAGTACTCATTTTAGGAGAACTTAGCATTCAGTTAAACAGCTTGAGATTGTTTTCTGTTTTAAGACTTATTTGGCAACGGCTTGTAACTTTCATCCAATCAATTCATCAATAAAATTATGATTGTTCAGTCAAGAAATTGATAGGTCATACTGTTTCTGATTTTCATGTACTGGAACTACTCATATGAGAAGAGATATTACTTTTTATTTTATTTTTGTCTATTCATAGAATGAATTTGAACTTCAAGGAGCAACACTCTTTCATTACCTAGTGATCACAAGACCAAAAGTCCAATGACATTATTTTTAACAGAGTAGTGTTACATATATATAATGATAGTTATCGTTAGTGCACTTTCCTTTTATATACAATTCGGTGGTTTTGTGGAATGGTTCTTTTTGTCTAAGTGGATCTCATCCATTTTTTATATGTTACATGAGATTAGATAACATGAGAAATATATTTTCCTTGTTATATACGAATTTCCTTCTTTTATCACCTCTGAAATATCAATGCATTTTTTTTTTTAGAAAGTGAAAAATATTTTAACCACTTATTTAATAGGAATTTGCTTGAAGGATTGAAGGTGACTTTGTACAATGTTTTTACATTATATTACTTAATGATGCATTCCTAAAACCAACAAATAAATAGATAATAATATTAGCGAAATGACAACTTAGAAATCGAACATCTTTTATAACTAAAGCAATGCAAATAATGTTTTGTATAGGCCAAATTATATATTTATTTAAGAAAAAGGATAATTACATTGTCCTTTTTCATCTTATAAGCTATTGAGGTGTTAAAGGCTATTGTACAAGATGATATGTTAATTAATCTTATAAGCAATTACATGAAAGTGGAATAAAATAAATGAATCAAACCTCCAACTTTGTACTTATTGCTTCTTTTTTCTTTTAATGGTGCTTCTAAACACACACTCTCATAACTTTGATGGTGTAGAGCAAACTAAATATATGAGTGAGCTTTTTGGAACATTAACATACGCACTAGCACTTAAATAGACTCTTTTCATCACAGTCTCTAATATAAACGGTGTGTACAAAACTGTGGGCAGCCTCTGAATGAGTGAGTAGTTCCTGAACATGGTTTCTGAAAACAGTGGACCCCACTTTGATTCATCCTTCCACTGATTAATAAAAACAAAGGTCTCCCCCCTCTTAGCCGGTTCATGGCAGGGGACCACCATTAATGAACTAAGCTAGTCCAGTGCTACTAAGTTGATTCGATATCATGTCTCAACCAAAAACCTTAAGGTATTGGGTTCATGTGTCATTTCACTTATATATACTTCACTTAGTTTATTACCAACTAATATGAGACTCATCAAACTTGAATACTCTAACATCCCCTGATTATTGAAGACATGATCTAAGTGATTCTGTTCATGTAGCTGATGTCTTATTAGATAGAGTTTTTTTAGAAGCAAAAACAATTATTTGCAAGGTAAAAAATAAGATTGAAGATATTTTAACATATCAGAAACAATTATAGAACACAGTGAACTTTTCATGGACAGCTCAATCAGAACCTCTCTAATGGAAGGATGTCACATAGATGGCAGAGGTAAAGACAAAACAATCCTAATAACAACGAAGGAGGTTATATTTACTATCTTTTTTTCCTTATCACTTCTTACTACCAATTTTGTTATCGTTAGATCAAAATCAAATTAACGGTTCTCACTTAATGTTATTTTGCAACTGTTGATTTGATTTTAATCCAACAAAAACAAAATTGATAATAAAAAGTGGTAAGAGAAAATGATGGTAAATATAATCTATCCTATAATGATGAACTTGTTAGATGACATAATTGATGGATAACTTGAAATAGAAATTTGATTATAGAACATGGTTTTAGATGATGTTTGGAATGAAATTTGTGTCAATTGGCTTATTGTATTGAAACCTTCTCAATATGGGATTAAATGAAGTTAAATTTGTGTAACAGCCATAGTGAACAACTGAACATGCTGCTTCAGTTGTACGAACTATTCCAACTTAAGTCACTTGTTTGAGAAATGTTGTTCGTTAGTATTTGCAAACCATGCATTCTGGGATTTAATGTCCATCTTCTTGTAACGTTTTTTGAATTGTTTAAAGTTACTCTACAAAATTTTTAAAGCAAAGTATATTTTGACTTGAGGTTGTTGATTAGCCACCTATGCAATTGCGTAAATTTGTATTGTAGCACAAACTTACACATTGATCACATATTTTCATGCAAGCCATTAAATAACACCTGTAACCCTTTTTTTAATGGTCCAAATTATTCAAATTTCTCGCATTGTGAACTATCTATTTTGTTTGTGGTGCTATTATGAACCTGTTAATCCTTTGCAGGTTCGTTTTAACATAATTTCATTCGTCAAAAAGGGAAGTAATGAACCACAAAATCAAATATTCTAGCCAAAACAGATGACTGCTACACTCATAGGACATCAAATGATCCATCAGGACTTTGATATTGGTATTGAACCAATCCATGCTACTACTGTCAAGTGTATAACTTACATAGAAATATTATAAAAATGGGTGCAATGAGGAGCACAATTAGCTTTACAAAAATTATAGCCCAACAAAGTAACAAAGTAATTGCAGAGCTCTTCATTAACTATGGCCTTTTAACACTTTTTGTGTATTCCATCTTGAGTCTTCCTTCCCTATTTCTTCCAATGAAATAAAATATAACATCCCTCCACTCCATAATCGATTTCCTTGGCAGTGAAAAATCTTTCAAGGACCTCTATATCTGCGGAAACATAAACAACCCTGAGGCTGATCATGAGGGATCATACCTCCACCTTTTGATGTGTCAATAGCTTCCAACATGGACACCACTTCATCCATCTCTGGCCTCTTATCAGGATTGGCATCCCAGCATCTTTTCATCACATTTGCAATAGAGCTTGGACAACAACGCGGAATCTCTGGCCTCAGATTCTGCAGTTCCATAAAGAATCTTAATTACAGTAAAAACAGCCAGCAAGGGATGTATCAACAATAGACATGATTGCATATGAACGTTTGTAAATAAAGGGGAAATAGAAAACCATCAACAGTTGAATCTGTTGGTGTTTCCTAAGTAGTAGTTTTATCAAATTTTCCTGAAGTTATAAGTGTTCATTTATACTGGTAAAGACACTTGATACATTTAATATACCTGTCTTACGACAGCTGAAGTCACTTCTGAGAAGCTAAGGTCAGGATATGGCATGTCACAGCAGTATATCTCCCATAAGCATATGCCAAAACTGTATACATCACACTTTCTATTGTATGGATTACCATTTAGAACCTGCCCAATGTAGAATTCTTCAGGTAAGTTCAATATACCAATATCTAGGATCTGAAAATATTTAAACAAAACATGAACTACTTATGCAAAGCCAAGCTATTTATAACTGATTTTAAAATTAGCAGAATATATGCTAAGGATCATATATCTAAAGAGAGTTAACCACCATTAGCAGGAGCAGTGAATAGTTAAGCAGAACCTATTTAGACCATAGAGCAAGGTATGCAGAACATGTAGATAGAGTGATTACTACCATAGGCCAGAAGTTTGAAGATCTTATGTAAGTAGAGGCAACGACTAGATATAAATGGGTGCACGAAACAAACCCCAAAAGATTGATGCACAAGAGAGAGAGACATTTTCAGATGAATTGAAGCATATACCTCAGGAGCCATGTAACCAAGGGTTCCAGTTTCACCAGTCATGTCATGAGGATTGGAAGCTTCAATACGAGCTACTCCAAAATCAGCTATTTTTAAGGTTCGTGTCTTGTCTAGAAGCATGTTTTCTGTTTTAACATCTCTGTGTACAATCTTTTTTGTGTGGAGATAGCTCAACCTACAAAGGAAACAATAAAAAGTTGTCAGGCTTAGAAAGAAAATTTACTATATTAAACTTATACGATGCAGATTAGGCATAGAGATTAGACCCTCTTGCAAGGTCAAGAGCCAGTTGAACAACCACTTTAAAAGCCAGCTTCCTTCTCCGGTTTTTAATGAGATAAGACTTCAGTGCACCCCCAGGACAATATTCCACAACAACACAACAAACATTACTGGGCATGCCTATATGACCATTTTCCGTTTGTATCTGTAGCTCTGATGTTCCCATTGTTGCCCCAATAAACTGCAAAATGGATTTGACAGTAGGCGTGAATAAGAAAACTCTCATGTAATGTTTAAACCTATACCAGAAGGAAAACCCAATGGTAGCAATTTCCTTCAGCCCCATGCATTTTACTGCTTAAACTTGCCTAATACAGTGAGTGCCAAATAGATTGTAACCATTTCAACCATGGATTGTCTTAGCCAACATAAACGAAACGAAGAGATCTACGAAAAGTTAGATTAATAGCAATGTCTATGACAGATTTACCTGCTAACCAATTTTATTCCACATCCCTAACTATGAAGCAAATTTAATGTATTGCCTATCGGGGATCCTTACGACCGGACACCAAACTCCTGCCATATCCACTTACAAAGGTATTTTCCCATATGTGGATCTTAATGTAGCCTGCATCCACCCAACTGCCAACAATTCTCTTCCCAACCCCCAAAAATAACAGAGAAAATAGTACAAAAGAAAATAAACATTAAGAAGAATTCATTTGACATAAATGTCAAGTTATGATATAACATGCATATGATGCAGAGACAGAACAGCCTGAGGTTCAGGCAATATTTTCCTCCTGGAATGTTTGATTCAATTCGTGTGCACTTCTTTATCATTTATCTTTCCTCTTTCCTTTGGTTTATATATATACTTTCTGTTCATATCTGATTTGATTCATAGTAGCAAATGACAGGCACGTAAGAAACCCGTAACAGTAAGCTATTGGGGTCTTCCATTCAACAACACAAGTAAAGGGGTAACATGGTTAACATAAACAAAAATAAAAAAAGACCTAAATATTACCTTTGTTACATTAGGATGTTCAAGCTTGTGCCAAACAGCAACTTCTTGTGTAAAAGCTGCTCTCAAAGAAGCTATTTCAGCATCTGACCGATGGCCCTCTTCCCCCCAGTCAAGGAGCTTAACTGCAAAAACAAATCAAGAGATAAACTACTTAATATCAAATCACCTGGAGATTCACAAGTTACTTTGGGCTATTCATTTATTCAGAATTCAGTAGAAAGCTGCAGGGTTAACAAGTTTAGCATCCAGGAACAGTTTAAGATAAGAATGTATGACAATCATAAAAAACTAAAAAGGGGCACTAATATTACTGATGGCTTTAACTCTTAGGAAAAGAGCTCCTATAGCTAACTCCAAGTAGAAGATGTATGTATGTGGCAACATAATAACCAGTAATTACCAGTCAACAGTTTCAATTATATCAATTTTATTTTCCATTATTATACCCTCCTCATAGTAGTAAAATCAAGTGCCAGTCAGTAATAAAAAAGAACACATGAAAGTTCAAAAAAGAAAAGAAGAATGGTAAAGTTCATGCACATAACTGTCAAGTCAACTGGATCTTGTGAATTCTAGAAAAAAATTAAGAGAAAAGAAAAAAGATAAAAAAAAGAAGAAGGAAAAGATAATCAATCTTGTGAATCACGGATTTTGTAAATCTAGATCTACAAAGTTCCAATGCTTGCTAGTTGTGGCTCACAGTCAATAAAGTAACAAAAACGTATCAACTTAAAATGGTTTCTTAAAGAACTCAAGAAATAAAAGAAAGTAAAATATGGACTCATTTCCAACTCTATACTTTCCTTAAAGAAGAGCAGAAATTGTAGTTTGATTGTAAAGGTATAAACAGAATGAAATCACCAGTATTTGAAAGAGTTGAGGAACCACCAAAACTTAAAGCAGCGGATCTGCTGACCAAGAAAGACTTAAATGTTACACTAATACATCATATTTAACCAACTCCTTATGATCCTTTATTGCACTTCCATTGAAAGCTAGACCTCAAATGAATAAGAGTTACATAAATTCAAGAAAAGGTACTTTGTCCATGGAATCTTGGCATTTACATGAAAGAAGGCTAAGCAAATCATCAACCTGCAGTTCAGGAGCATTTGCACATTATGCAAAACTCTCAGTTAAAAACACCAGTACATGAGCTTCTCCAAGTAAACAAATATTGCCTAATTCCATGTGTATGTGGTTGTGGTGTTAAACAAAAAGGTGCAAGAAAGGGAGGGAAAAGGTGATTATAAAATTATGAATGTTTTTTCCTCTCTTTTTTTCCTTTTCTGGAAACAGTTACATCATTAGAAACCAAGAATTATCCAATTGTGACTCCAAAGAAAAGAGAGTGCAGTGCATGAAAGAGGAGAAAAAAGAAAAGAAAAAAGAGATTACCAGCAACATCTTGGCCATCATAAATCCCACGGTGAACAGTTCCAAAAGTGCCACGAGCAATGACAGCTTTGATGATGAGTTTGGAAGTGTCAATCTCCCATTCTTGCCTTGTTCTTGTGGACCTTCCTTCAACCTCATCATCTTCTTCCTTTTCCTTGTTCTTCTCCATTGTCCATGCTCTACTCAGATGCCTCTGAAGCTGCTCATCCAAGCTCTTCAGATCTATCTGATCCGCTCTCACATACCCACCACTATCACTCTTCCTCATCTCTCCCCTCATCTTTTCAACTCCAACTCAAAAATCACCACACCCCTTTATGACTTTTGCTACTAAAGTTGCTTAGAAACATTAAAAGTTCCTATCTTTGGATTCAAGTTCTGGTTTTGAGCAATTTTTCCTTATTGGGTCCTTTTTGTGTCTCTCTCTTGTGTTCTTCTATTAGTGCTGCCACACTGCAGGTGCTATTGCTGGGGTTGAAGGTGAGATCATAAATATAATAGTGACTGTCTACAATAACTTGTAACAGTTTCTGAAACTCTCTCTCTCTCTCTCTCTCTCTCTCAATCATGCATGTGGGCACATGGATTTTGCCTGAACACGACGTGTGTTTATGACCCACTTTGGTCTAACTCTCAAAAACCCCCCCTCTCCTTCTAATTTATTGAAAACAAAGATCTCTTCAAGTGTCTGTGGCTATGCCACATTGGGTGTTGTTTTGGTGGTTTTTTTTTTCCTTTTTTTTTCTGGTTTCTCTCTCTCTCTCTCTCTCTCTTTGGTTTCCTTTTTAAATTTCCTTTATGGCAGTCACGCTCATTTTGCCTTTCCACATTGCCATCTCTTTCAAACAAGCTTGGCTTCATCAATGAGTGATCACGCAAACAGTTAAAGAGACTCACTAGCCCAAAGAAAGAAAATATGTGTTTTTTTATCCTTCTTGTGCAAAAACATAAACATATTATGATATTACCCGTTTAATTGTTTTGCAAATTATTTATTAATTTAATGCAAGTCTAACGCTTAAGGGAGTTAAGTTGTGTATCACTTCCATGTGTAATTTGTACAAAAATCAGCACAATACTATACGTGTATTCGGATGGTTCTAGAGATGCTAATATGGGTTGGCCCGTCCGACTCTTCGTAAATCCATAAAAAATGGAATGGATTGGTTCGCCGCTGAATATAGGTTGAAAAAAAGAACTCACACTATTTTATAGTGGGTTGGCGAATCAACTCATCAACCTGTCAATTAAATAAATAATTAAAATTCATAAATAAATTATATTTTATGAATTTTATAATATTATTTAATTTTATTTCACACTCTTCTTAATTCTTTTCAATCTCAATTTTAAATGTATATTAATATTCATTTAAACATTTTTTAGAAACTTATTTGTCTCCATATATAGATAACATTTGTCATAAAAAAAATTATTTTCTAAAAAATACTAAGATAAAAAAATTTAGATATCATAAAAATTTATAATTTAATAATTATTATTATTATGACCCTGCAGATTGAATCCGTTTTGATCCATTTTTAAGCAGAGCAGGTTGAAGTAGATTGACAAGTTGAAAACCTTAACTCAACTCGTCCTGTTTGACTCAACCCATATTATTACCTCTAAATGGTGCACGTTCAAATCACTTCTGTACTTTATGTGCGTCTTGTTGAGCGTGACATGTAACAAATGCTTTTTGACTTTTACATAAGTTTCGCTATATGTATTTTATTTACATTAAATTAATAAATAATTTTTCAATTGAATTAAACCGATAATATATCTTAAATTTTGCTTAAGAGCAGTGAAAAAGCCAAAATATGTAAATTGTAATCATGATTTATGAATTGAACAAATAGGTGGGATACTGACCAAAATGTCACTGTTCACCATCTTTTTTACCTAAATGTCATGCGAACAATGTTATTTCCCAATCTGCCACGGAGGCAAGTTTGCTTCTGACACAAGCTACCTCGGTTTGTTGACGTGTCACATTTTTAGTGAATAACAAGTATTAAATTTTAAAAAAAAATTCAAAAAAAATGAAGTTCGCCTACCATGTAGGCGAACTTGATTAAAATATTATTGGGACCGAAGTCACCTGTATCAGAAGCGAACTCTGACACCACCAGGAAGCTGACACGTCAGCAAACCGAGGTCGCTTGTGTCAGAAGCGAACTTGCCTTCGTGGCAAATTGAAAAATAACACTATTCGCATGACATTTAGATACAAAAATTGGTGAACAGTGACACAATGATCACTGTTCCCAAATAGGCTTACTGATATGATTCCAACACATTGTAGAATCATTGTTTTTGTTTGGCAAATTCATAGAATCATAATTAACACCCTTTGACTGTCATATACTGACAGAGAACAGAGTTTTGTTTCTTTGTCTTTTCTTTTTCTTTTTTTTCTTTTTTTTGTTTTCTGACTGTGTGACCTTTGGTTTGTTTAAGTCAATTAAGTCCAATCAACATTTAATAATTTCATAAAAATAATAAGACAATAGCAGCAAGTTTAGGGGAACCAGTGGGTTAGGTTAATGATAAAGAGAGAAGGAACATTTATTATGAACAAAATTCAACCCTTACTTATTTTAAGTATAGGTTGAACCTTGAAATGAATCATCTTCTTACGTTTCTTACCTTTTGCCTTGAATAGTTAACGTTTGCTGGGGCCCTAAAGATAAATGAAAAAGAATTATATATTATTTACATATCTAAAATACACCAATTTTATTAATTTTTTAATTTTTAATTGAAGTGTACAATTCCAATTTGTCAACATGTTAGTTGATATGCAAAAGGATACGTGAAGGTAACATACCTTATCTGAAAATGATGGGAGCTCAATAATCCAATAAAATCAAATAATAATGTTGTAAAATAATCAATTGTGAAATAGAAATTAAAATTGTATTAAAATTTAATTATGAATTACATGGGACAAAATCATCTCAAATTTCTTACAAAATTATAAAAGTCCGTTTTTTTGTATTTTTTTTTAAGAAAAAGACATTTTAAATTTAGAAATATGTTTACAATTTATTTTAATCAGATAAGTTTCTTAAGAAAAAAACGTAAGAACTTCAAACAAACAGTTTTAATGATTTTCTGGTAATTTAAAAATAATAACATCTGAAAAAATAATCCAAAAGAACTTATGTTATAAAAATGTTTTTTTTTTGTTTTAACTTATCTAAATGCACCCTAAATGAGGGATTAAGAATCTTTAAGTAGATATAAAGTAAGTATCATATTCTACCAAAAAAAGAAGAAGTAAGTATCATATTAATTGCATATACCTTTTTTACATGAGTTCCATATATTTGAAAAATTAGTGATTGAATTTTTTTCACTCATTATTTTTCATACAAGTTAACATTTTGAGCAAGACATTTGATTTTTGTGTAGTTCATGTGTAATTAAAATTTGTATAACTATTGTTTTTTATAAAATGATGCTTCGTTAATTTGTGAGGAGTTTATAAAAGTTTTATATGTATACAAAACTGTTTTTTAATAGGAAATATTGCATCCCTTTTAAAATTGATGATAAATTACTTTTGGGATGAGAATATTTTGAAAAAACTATGTGTAGAATACTGATTGAGGCAATATACTAAACTAGTTTATCATCAAGGAGAAAACAACAAACAATGAAAGAGCAAAGATATTCAGATGGGGAAAACAAAAAGTAACGTATTAGTGCATTTGCAAGACTAGTTATGCACTCATGCTGGCTAATATAAAAATTCCAATAAGACAACTATCCATGATGCTTCCACTTGACAAGAAGCAAAATTGCTTTTACTTCCTCTTGTAAGATAAAAATATTATTGTTTATTGAAGAGGATATTCTTACTACCCCATTTTTTCACTATCAATCTATTACAATTCTAATATAATTATTACATTAAAAGTTATTTTTCTTTTCTTTCTCTTTAGAGATTTTTTCAGAGATTATTGAATGAAAAGTAGGATCTAACCGTTGAAAAGTAATAGTAAATTGATAGTAAAAAAATGAGGTAGTAAAAAAATGGGAAAAAATCACCAATGCCCCTGTGGTTTGCTTCAGAATCCTTTATGCCCCTGTGGTTTGTAAAAGGGTATGTTTTTTATCACATATACCCATGTGGTTTCTTATTTTTTACAAAGCACAGGGGTATATGTGATAGAAAAAAAATCACAGGGGCATAAATGATTCTGAAGCAAACCACATGGGCATTGGTAAACTTTTCCCTAAAAAAATTCAACCTCTTGTTTCTTATGTTATAAGAGATAATTTTATCTCTTATAGGGATCTATATTTTTTTTTCTTTTTTTTCTTTATATAACATCACACATTTTTATATATGTATTAGTGATAAAATTATCTCTATCTCTAAGATAAATGCCGGTGCCTAACACTCTTGATTTGCAATGATTGAAATAATGACCAATTATATAGGGTCTTACACTTATATTTCTACATCACATCCTTAAAATTATCCTCATAATTGTTTTTTTCCCTCAAGGTCTATTTTCTTACTGTGTCTAGCCATCAATACCATAATGACACCCTGAGTGGCTGCGATACATGCCAACTGCTTCTCTAGTATTGGTTTATTTAAGAGAAGCATGTCACCTGATCTCTAATAAAGGAAGAAGACTTCTTTTTGCTGAAAGAGAATTTCAATGACAAGCTTTGAACAAGGTTATTGATCCGGGGAAGGTTGCATCTGAAGTACTTTGTTCTCAATAAAGCTAGAAAAAAGAAGAAAAAAACATAAAAAGAAGCTAACTGAGAGTTTAAGCCACTAAATGTGCTATTGTATGTTACCCATTAAGGCTTGTTTGGGAAAAAAAAAATAAAAAATATTGCTTCTTATAAAAATTGCATATTATATATCTCAAGGATGTCTCAAAAGAACTTGGTTGAGCAATGCAAGAATCAAACTAATTTTTATGGGTTTGGTGCCATAGTTGCCTAGAATCAACCTAGGACCATCACCATGTTTTTGATTGAAAACTGAAATATACATATAGATGGATGAACCAAAACCAATTTATTTCTTTTGAATTCATTTCCCCTCAAGATGCTTTCAATGACCAATTAAGTAAGATGTGATAGCCGGCATCTAACACTTTGAATCATGGGTATAAAAAGGTAACAGATTATCATAATTTAAAAAATAGCGTGTATCATTTCAACTCTCATCAAAGATGAACATCTCAAAATTTAGTGAGAGATTTTAAATTTAAAAAATCACAACATTTATATTCTTGTGGCATGTCTTATATCTGTCGATTTTTTTTTTTTTTTTTTTTGTAATACAAAAAAGTTTAAGCGGAGTTAGACACCTGTATCCCACTAAGGTAAGGGAAGACCCCCCAACCTCTTTGAAGATTTCTGGGAGGGATTACATATCACCCACCAACAAAGTCTTCACATCGGCCAGCGGGGTTTGAACCCATGCCCTTGAGGGGTATGGACCAAACCCTTAGCCAACTGTGTCCACCTTTGTTGGCGATTTTTATTTTTATTTTGATACAAATGAAAATTAAACACGTAATCTAATACAAACTACCCAAATCCATCACTACTAAACCAAACTTAATGGCTTTATATCTGTCAATTTCTACATTATTAAATTCAAACAAAAATATTTTAATGGTAATATGCAGTTTTAGGCATCAGCTTTGCAATGAATTGAAGTGTAAAGTGGCATTGCTGTTTCTACGTTGATATTGCATAATGCTTGCCCGTGAAAACCTACGTTCTGACTTCAATGTGGCACAAAAAGATGTGTCAACAAACTCAAAAATCACGAGGCCAAGTTTCAACTGAATTGCAAAACACTCGAGATTTTTATTAATATCTGTCAGTAGTAACACCCGTGATCTCAAAAAGGCGTGACTATCCAAAACAAAAACTAGGAAGACCCCTCCTAACGCACATAATGCCCATAAAAAATGAGTTATAGAAGAAAAAGAAAGTAACCTTCATAGTTCATATAATTGAGAACTTACAAAATTCATCAAACATCATCAGTGATGTATGCATGAAAATATGTTCAAGATCTTTAGATAAGCACTCGGTACATATGGCTTCAGCACCACAATCTTTCATGGCCACGAGACACACATGCAGTTTGATTTTCAGCCACAAGGAGCCAACAAGTCAATCTAACAACACTTCCTTGTCTTGGGGTCATACAAATCCCTCAACTAGTTTTTTATCCAATAATTTAGGGTAAGTTATATTTACAAATTTTTATGTTTACAAACTCTTATAAACTACACTAGGTACTACGAGTAGTACATGCTCAAATAGTACGTACTACCTATAGTATATTATATAGTGTAAATAATCACAGATAACAATTTCTAACTAGACACAAATGTAATTTTATTTTTTGATTTTTTTTGGGTTTCCCAAGGATGTCCCCACCCATTGCCACTCGTCTCAAATTACTTCGCCTAGGAATCGAACCAGAAACCTATCAGGTCTAACAATTCACTCTTTGGGCACAACTTGCTTACCAGGTGTTCCATCTCATGGGATTAGACACAAATGTAATTTTTAATGAAGGTTTAGTAGTCTAAACTGGTAGAAATGCATAAATCATCAGACCTGTGGCACATCATTCTCATCCATGACAACTGGAGCAGTTTTTCAGGAAAACTAAATTTAGAAACATTTGCAAGTTGAAACTGCCAACTAGCAACGACAGGATAATTACATCTTAACGAAACTGTTACACTATGCCATTGAAAAATTAACTGATATACATGTAATTAAGTTTTTGATATTGGTAAGCTTAATTACAGGCTTCAAAGTGTGTATCATTCGTTTCTGGTGTGGAAATAACACCATCTTTCAAACAAAGACAGCTGCTATGACCCAAACTATATTTCAATTGTGGAAAATATAAGTACTTATATACTTAAATGAGAAGGAAAAGAAGCAGATCACCAAATAGGGGGAAGAATGAAGAGAGCCCAAGATAATAATAATAAAACAAAAGAGATAGCCATCATATACATGAATTGTAACGACGCTTCTTCTTCTCTGGTGTTGAATGTACCTGGGCTTTGATCCCATATGTTTTTAACTGAAAATTTTCAAAAGCCTCTGAAATTGCCTCCACCTATAGGATTGTACAAAGCAGAAGGTAAGTGAGCCTAACCTGAATGTTTAAAGACAAGACTATCAAACTTGGATTGAATTTAATTCCACTTACCAGTTCTGGCTTTTTGGAGTACACCCTAACTATCATATCTTGATAATATGTGGGCAGCAAGTGGCTTATACGGTCATCAGGTATTTGAAATTTCTCATCACTTTCACTTTCCTGAATAGATTATTGAACCCACAAATGAAAAATAGCTAGCAGCATTGTCAATTGATATGTAACTTCGTTATTAGAGAAAATCAACTTTATACTTGAACAAAAGAAGCCGTTGAAGTTCAAAATCATACTGGTACACACACACACACAACTTTCCTATAATTTTCAACAAATGTAGAGAAGTACTAGCCTATATCCCCCCACAGAAGTAATAAGAAACACTATGAACTAGAATAAAAATTAGCTTGAGGAATAATTAAAAAATTAGAAACTGTCAAATTGAGGAGTGGATCCTCTCATGTTAAAATTTCACATGATATGATCATGTGAAAATTGTGTTTATCTCTCTTCATTGGCATTAAATAGGTGGGATCCAAATTAAAATTTATGACGAGTGACAGACACAATTTTCACATAACTAGGTCATGTGAAATTTTAACATGAAAAATTCTATTCCCGTCAAGCTGCACATAAAGTAAGAGGGTTTGTTATTCCAAAAAGAAGACATAATCCCCAAATAAAATATAAACACACCACCAAAACCAGTTAAAATATACGAAGCTTTTAAATGAAATATCTCGATAAAAGATAGTTAGGTTCATCCGTGTACCTTGAAAAAGTTGATGCTGCAACAGCAACATGCACCAGAAGAGAGAAGAAAAGATTATGTTAGTATAAGATATTAGGAAGCTAAAACAAACTGAAGGTAGGTTCAGTAAGCATGGTCATTCTTCATTGAATACCTTTCCAGAGGATTATGCTTTCCACGAGTAAAATCAATTTTGACATTACAAACAGCTACATCCTCCTCTTTCAGCATAACTCCGCCACTCTTCTGTCAAATGGTATTACATGACAAACAATATGGAGTTCATCGTTGAACCTAGGCAAGAATCAAAAGTATATGCAATAATGCAAGTAAGAGAGTTTAAAAAGATTAAGGACCTGGGAACAAACAATATCTTGGGCAGTGACTTTCTTAAAATTGTCCAACATATCCTTTGGTACAACATACTCATTACAAAACTACAAAACAAAAGAGAAATTTCCTGAGATTCAGCAACACTAAATAACAAATAATTGAATAGATAAGAAAAAATTGTTAATTGCACAAGCTTTTTAGGCTGTATGTAAATTTAGATACAGCCACCCAATAGTTGGTGTTGGTTTCATGCTGAACAGTTTGAGAAAATATCACTACCCAATTAAAATTACTGCATGCAACTGTTAATCACTGGAAAGTGACGAGTAAAAACATGCCTGGTACAGATTCCTCCTTCGAATGCGCAGGATCAACTCCCTGGCTTCCTTTAGCTCTTGATTTGGAGCTGTCTCAATGGTTTTAATTATTGAGTCATCTAGCTGTATTTTTCAAAGTAAAGTATATTTTATGATTCAAAAGAACATTGTAAAAATGCTTTAAATACAAGTTTATTTGTAAGAAGCCATAACCTTCCAGTATTCAGAAGGATTTAGAATGTGAGATGAAATCTCCAAATAATTATTTGCCTGAACAAGTGCATCAACCACCATAAGCTCTATTGCCTGGAAACATCAAGACGGGATTAGAAACAATAAAAGCCACGAAGGGTAAGTTTATGAATAATAAAGAGACGATAAGGAAATAAAAGAAAAGGCAAGGATCTATACCTCAATAAACAAATGAAATTATCTTACTAACAAAATAAATTTTCCATACCTTTACTTTTGAATGTGTATAAACTGTTCTATACAGATCAGCACGAGTGGCAAACAACTTGTGGATGGTAAGATCTAGCAAATTACACAGACAAAAGCAAGGGAGAATTAGAACATGCAATTGAATTAGAAAGGTATTGAAAAAATGCTTTAGAGAGAACTCTAACATTCCGTAGCACGATAACATATCTCATCGTCCAATACCCGCATGGTCTCAAATAACCTGTAAATAATTTACAATTTAAGTTGGTAAAAGTGATATATAACCTGTGTTTACTTTTACATTCTTGCTAAGAAATATTATCAAAACACTGAAAAGAAAACAGCTATTTTGAAAAGATTCATGAAACCTCTGATATTGAAAGTTGCATCCCAGACCACAAGCTCGACAGTCCCGGCCAATATAATCGAATCTGTAAATAGTTTCCACGAAGCACTACAATTTAACATAACTGAGATGCACACACACCCAAAGAATACACGAAAGAGAGAAGATAGAAAAGAAATATAAACCATATTTGACTGTTAATTTTATTTGTTTACTTACTTGTCAACATCAATTCCATTCCGTCCATTTGCAACAATATCATACAAGAAACCTTTCTCACTTGAGCTCTAAATAATCAACAAAAAGGAAAGAAAAAATAAAAAAGGAGTGATTGCTGATAAATAACTATGATAAGAATAAACAAAAATCCACCAAAACTATGAGTAGATAGTTCTTGAGAATAGACAATTTAAAATACAATTAATTAAAAATCTTACCCTAGGAAGAGCAAACTCAGAGCTCGCCAGTATCATCTCCTGCCAATAATAACCACCCATTAGGACGAATATGCAAACCTATTCCTACTTTTTATTTATCTGACTGATGCACCATCCTTCTTATGCAGAATAAGAGAATAACTATACCTCTATACGAAAAAAATACATGCACATGTAAAAGCTCTTTCAACTTAGAATATTCACACAAACACAGCGAATGGACATGGGAAAATGGTAGCTAGACTACCTTCTAAAGCTGTCTCGAAGATGTCCAGGGCAATGCTTGAACACATATTTCCTTGTAGTGAAGTCTGCTATTGAACAGAAACCTACCATGGCTATCACCATTTATTACATTTTTCATATACTATGTTTCAAAGAAGCCCAATACTTCTAAACTTAAAAAAGAACAAGTCTACTTGGACAGAGCACCCATTCTCCTATACTGACAACTTTATCAACTAATTTACCCGAAAATTCATGCTAATGATGCTTAAGAAGTGATATTTAGAATCTCTACACGCTTGATTTAAAACAGGAAAAAGTAAATTGTAAATAGAAGCTTAACCTTGACTCTTCTTATCATCTGAGGGTCAACATCAATATTGTGTTCATCAACCATATAATCAACCATATTGACAGACATTTGTTCATGCGACCTACAAAGTACAAAATGTGACACACATTAAATGAATTATGATCACAAAATAAATACAAGTATAACCGGATAAAGCATAGTTTTCTTTTTTCAGGATTTTAGAAACCAAAAAGAAACTATACTCTATGAAATGATGAGTAGGGCCGGCAAAACAGGCTCGGCCCCGAGCTGAGTTTTACAACCCGCCTAGCCTGCAAAGTCGAGTTTTTTGGTTTTTTTTTTTTTTTTTTTTAATGTAAAACAGGTTTGAGCCGGCTGGCCAACCCGCCCTGCCAGCCGAATGGGGTGGAGCGGGTCGAGTTTTTCAGCCCACTCTCAAAAGTGGAGCGGGCCGCCCGCTTTGCCACCTCTGAAGAGGGGGAAAATGCAAAGAAAAATGAAATAAATGAGATGTTAAATTCAAAAATGTATAAAATGACAGTACCAATGAGAACCACTGATAACTTGGGGTAGAAACTCGCGTTCAAACAAGTGACTGAAAGGCCCATGTCCCACATCATGCATAAGTCCTACAAAAATGATGACAACATCAGTAAAATTTCAAAAAATAATTACATTGCATTAAAATCATGAGCAGTTCTAAGAAACGTTATATACCTGCAAGTTTCACTGTTTGAATATCAAATCTATCAATACCAAGCACCGTGCCCTGCAAGTTCACATGCATATATGAGGATCATGTCAATATGACTTCACTGATCCATTAAAAGGGTAAAATATCTGTTAAGAACCTTGAGGTCACCACCCCAAAAGCTAGCTCAAAGGGTGGGAGTGCCGAATGCCTTATAAATCTCACATTAGTTGCCCATACAACTAATGTGGGACTATGCCCCCTCACACGAGAGCCTACTGGGTTTGAAGGGTGGACAACATACAAGCCCACCTACATGTGGAAATTCCACTACAAAGAAAGTGGGAGACGGTGAGATTTCGAACGCTCTGATACCATGTTAAGAACCTTGGGATACATGTTGTCCACCCTTCAAGCCCAGTGGGCTCTCGTGTGAGGAGGCATAGTCACACATTAGTTGTATGGGCAACTAATGTGAGGTTTATAAGGCATTGGGCACTCCCACCCTTTGAGCTAGCTTTTGGGGTGGTGACCTCAAGGTTCTTAACATGGTATCAAAGCCTTCGAAATCTCACCGCCGCCTCCCACTTTCTTTGTAGTGGAATTTCCACATGTAGGTGGGCTTGTATGTTGTCCACCCTTCAAGCCCAGTGGGCTCTCGTGTGAGGGGGCGTGTTGAGATATATCCGCCTCCCACTTTCTTTGTAATGGAATTTCCACATGTAGGTGGGCTTGTATGTTGTCCACTCTTCAAGCCCAGTGGGCTCTCGTGTAAGGGGGCGTGTTGAGATATATAGTCCCACATTGGTTGTATGTGCAACTAATGTGGAGTTTATAAGGTTTTGGACACTCCCACCCTTTAGAGCTAGCTTTTGGAGTGGTGACCTCAAGGTTCTTAAGAATATCTAACAAAATTTTATACCTGATAAGATTTAAGCTTTTCAACACATTGACCAGCAAGCCAATACACACCAAGAGAATGCTCAAATCTGGAATGCACAGCACCTGGATAAACCAGGTTCGTGAAACCTGAAACAGAAAACAAATTGATCAATGATAGAGATCATACATACTGAAAATTCAAAAAAGAGATATCAAGCTATGCATGCATCAAAAGCATAGCAGTGTTTGAGGCATTTTTTTTTTTTTTTTTTGTAAATTTTGAGGCATTTTTTAGATATTAGCTTTTACACCAATAGTACTCCTTTAAAAGGTAAATATGAAAATGACAGATCTACTTTGCAACCAAAAAAAATAAACCAAGTATCTTCTGATAGATATTTCATAAGATCCCTGATATATTCCATTGCATCACAAGGTGCAATTTTTTAATTTTTTGGCTATTAATAGAGATAGATTAATTAGTGTCAGTAATTAATGGGGAACCAAATTGGGGACCTCCTTCCGTTGTATCACGGAACAAATGCATAAAACACACTTTCATTTAAGTTTCCATATAACTCAATTATGTGCACTTTCATCTGCGTAACATAATACTGAAAAATCAAAAATATCTTTTATTCTTTCTTCATGGTACTTTTGACAAACAATATACAGGCATATAATAATAATTACAATTACAAACACACAATTTTACATTATGTGGCTGAATTTGTGCAACGATAAGCCTGTTGCCAAGCAAACACAATTTCACCAAATTGTGAAGCCATTCTCTTGAACTTAGTACCATTTCAATATCAAAGCTAAGCTTTCATACAAGTACAAATAAAGCCTCCAAAACAATAAAAAAAAAAAAAAAAACCACACTATAACAAACTCTAAAACCTGTTTTACATCACACATGCATGTTATTCTTTTTCAGCAAGTAAAACTCATTAGAAAAAATGGCCAGGAAGGGGGCATAAGAATTTTCATGACACACACATAGCATATACATATGCACACAAACAAAAGCTTTTAATTAAAAATGTGTATTGATGATCATCAAAAGAGTATTCTCTTTTTTTTTATATTATTTATAAGTTCATCAATTACTCGACTAGTCCAATTAGAGTCGGTGGGACCACATGCGCGACAAAGCTCTCCCTACCAAGTTTTAACACAACTCCATTCTCATGAACTGGAACTCAATACAATTGGTTAAGTTAGAACACATGCTTGTGGTCAAAAGTGTATTCTCTTGGTATCACTTGAATTGAACTTAAGACCAAAATCTTAAGTGGCTTCTAAAGCACTTGCTGATATTTATTTGATTAAATAAATTGAGATTAACTCACCAAGTTGTTTCAACTCGCGAAGCCTGCAATGTAAACAAACGAAAGAAAAAAAAAACCATATAATTAACACATAAAGGAACAGAACAAGATTGTGGAAGTGACCCTTTTCATGGAATAACAAAAAGTTTCAAACTTGCCTCTGAAACTGCTCAGTGTCTATGAACTTCAAACTGAGCTGCAAAAACCAACAATTATAAAAAAAAATAAAAAAAATTATATATATTTGAAAAATATCAACTTCAGAAAGAAAAAACAAAAAAAAGGAGAAAATTTAAAAAATTAATTAATTTAATGGTTGATGAAAACTACAGGATCGAGAAAAATATTGCCATGGAGGTTGTCGTGAACGTGCTTGTGAAGCCTGATATCAGAGGAAGGAGGCAACGAAACGTCGCCGTTGCAATAAGCACCCATGCCTAATCTTTGTTTGTGGTATCAGAGATAACAGAGTATTCACTTTCTCATATAATGCTTCTTTGTTTGTTCACTGTTCAGTTCTCAATAATGCTTCTTTGTCGAGAGACACAAATCGAAAACAAAAAACAGAAATTGAACACAGTGATTTACACTTTTATCTATTTTTTTTGTATTATATTCCGGCACTGATTACAAGTAATTTAGTTTAGCGAAAAAATGCTTCTAGTTACTGCAGATAATTATTTGTATTTATTTTTAAAAGGATGTTATTTTAATATTAAAATCTTAAAAATTTATAAATATAAAAAATATTATAATTTTGAAATAAATTAAAATTATAAAAATACCATAATTTCTGCCACATCATATTAAATTTACTACATATAACTGAAATATAAATAGGATTTAAAAATCATAACAGTAGCTATCTATATTAAAAATCTTAACAGTAACTATTTATATTAGAAACCCTAATCGCAGTTATTTATAAGCTCAAACTTAAATTATTAACAAAAGTAAAATATAATAAATAAAATATTTGGTGTTTGTCATTTTAAATGAAATAAGTTATGTCATTTTAAGAGAGAGTGAGTAGTTTTTTTTTAATTTTAATTTTAAATAAAAAAAATTTGTGTCTATTTCTCTTTTAAAATGACATAATTTTATGTCATTAAAAATTAGAAATACTTTTATCATAAATCAAATGTTCATAACAGTATTAAGCTTTATGAGCCCAATTGACTTACTGCTGATCCCACTAACAACAATAGTTATATACATGTAAAGTATGAATTATATCCAACAAAACATTATTTTTCACTTTAAAAATTAAAAAATAATCACAAAAAAGATCAAAGCAAATATATATATTGACAAAGGAGGTTGTTCAAGCTTAATGGGTAATCTCGAGTCTGAATTTTGAATATGTAACTATGTTTGTTACTTTTATAATCTCGCTGGCCTACTTGATCAGATTAATCGATTAATGGACAAAATTATAAAAAATAAAATAAAAAAAAAGGTATGAAAAAAATCAGTGTATTTTAACAATAAATTTAATGTCTTTAATATTATAAGAAATAAAATTATCTTTTATACACATATCAAAATATACGAGATTTATATATATATATATATATATATATATATATTTATATGATTTTATACGAGTATCGTATATTTTTATATATGTTTAAAACATCAAACCCTTTAACAATATTGTTGACTTGAGTTGACTCAGCAAGTAATTGTTTGTGAGGCTAGTAAAGTTATTCCGAGTCCAAGGGAATATACTATACTATGCGTAGTGGTTAAGTCAATGTTCACGGAAAGTTCCAATAAAATGGAGACAGCGACGACTTACTTAAATTATGGGAAAAGTGTGTATACTTTTAAATTACACAACTTACATCCTTTTACTCTCACAAAGAGGTGGGACCCACATCTTTATTTTTTTTTGTCAACTCTCTCTCCTCCTTTATCTATCTCTTTCTCTCTCTTAAAATGACACAACTTTACATCCTTCAAAATTATACACAATTTTCCCTTAAATTATTGTCTTTAAATCGGAATAATGCTTCTTTTGTCCGTTCTTACTTCTTAGACACCACTTTTTGTTTACACAATTTTCATTAAAATTTTACACGCTGATATTCTAATGATGTAACCTTACTTAAGTGTTAAGAATGAGTTTACCAGGTAAGGAACATTATTCCTAAAACCATGTGTTTTATGATTGTAGTGCAGGATGTCAGAAAAAAAAAATCATACGAAATGAATCAACAACATAAATAATTATATTTTTGTATCGGTTTCAGAATTAAATTTTTCTTTTTAATTGGTTTAACCAATGTTATTAAATCTGACTCACACATCGAAATGATTAGGGTAATGGATCATTTGGTTTGTAAAATTTTAAAAATATATATAATAATAATAATAATAATTATTATATATAATTATAATTATAATAATAAAATATAAAATATCTTAGATATTTATAAAAGTAATGATTAGATTCTTTAGATTTTTATAAACGTAATGATTAAGATTCTTTAGATTTTTATAAAAGTAATGATTAGATTCCATAGATATTTATAAACGTAATGATTAAGATTTCTTAGATATTTATAAAGATAATGATTAGATTCCTTAGATTTTTATAAAAAGTAATGATTACATTCCCTTTTGAAAATCTATATAAACCCCCCCCCCCTAAAAAAATTAAGCGTAAGAAGAAGAAGAGATAGAAGGAAAAAAGAGAGAGAGGAAGAGAAAAAAAATAAAAATAAAAGAAAAGAAAAGGTAATATTGAGAGTAAGTAACTCATTTTCTCCTTCACTTTTAAAGTAAATTTTTAAATATTTTAGAAAGCTATATTGGTTTTGTTTTTACCTGTCATGTTGAAAGCTGGTATTTTATGTTGGGCAAGTGACTTATTTACGGGAGGATGCAGGAGAACACCTAGAGGGGGTGAATAGGTGTTTTCAAATTTTTCAAAAACTTTTTCTTAGTAGATCCTTAAATCTGTAAAGTCTAGACAAAGTTGAACTATTAAGCTCAATCACTACACCAATTCAACAAGATTAACAGTTGTCAATTTATTTTGTAAGTTTAGTCCAGATAACAGTCACACAGCTATAACAATTTTACTAATTTTACCTTAGGTCCCTATATGCCCAAAATGATTTCTATATGCTGTATATCAATAGAAATGTACATGACCTTTTATTTTACAGAGCAAACGCAGCAATAACCTTTCTTACTTAAAACATATAATGATTAATTTTCAAATACCAGAAATCAGTTTAAGTGCTACAAAAATTATATCAAAACCAATAAGGTGTTATAACACTCTAAAAATATAACAGAAAATTGCTACAGCAAAAACAATAACATACCAGAAGCTGTGTTACTTTTTGCCTCAAATAGAATATTCAGAAATTAAATCAGAGAGACAAGAGACACACAATATATCTTAGTTCACACCCACTAAACCTAAGTAGGGTGCTACGTCCAGACTGAAGTAGCTGCAAATATTTTATTTATCACAGATGTACCTGTTTTACAAACACGCATCACACAAGCAATCAAACAAAATATCAAAAATCATCCTAGTGCCTACACTGCTCCAAGCTATGAGAATCCTCTCAAGCCGAACCTACGGAGTTCACCAACTCCTCTCACACAAGACCTCCACTCTGCCTAGTGGATTCTTGAGGCTCCAAACCTTGAGACACACTCTCAAGCCAAGCACAAGGTCGCCAACCCACACGGTTGCACCCACACACCTAGGACAGATTTACAGCAGGCAACTACTCTACTTTAACAAACAATATAGAATTTTTCAGAACTGTGACAAATGAAATAACCCAAAAATACAGTTTCTTATCACACCAAATATATCAAGGTAATATCAAACTAAGCTACACAATTTTATGTCATGTGCAAAAAATTAAATCAATGACATATGTATCAAAATCTCTAAAATTTATGCACCAAGGAGCTTGTATATTACACAATTAATTTTCTAATCAATGGACATCAAGAAATCTGATGTAAACAAAAAATATCACATCATAACCAGAAAAAATAGATTTGAAATTTATCTCAAAATTTCACATAAATTCAGAATGAAACCAGAACCCTATATTCTAACACAGAACCACAAGAAAATCTGAATTAAACACATTATGCCTTAATGAAACCAGAAATTCAGATTTAAAATGTTTAACCAAAATTCTTCAAGATTTCAGAATATAGGGTTCAAATAGAAGTATTAACCAAGAATATGAGTTGATTTGAGTTTATCACAATGAAGCCCTAAATTCTTTGTCAAAGAAATTCAGATTTTTTTTCAAGAAAATATGCAGCCACCACAAAGAAAGTTGAGGAAGGATTCACGATCTTGGCACACACAAAACATCCCAGAGTATTTTCTTTCTTCATCAAGGAGATTCACTTAAGAAAACTCGGTCTTATTTGTAAGAAGAAAAGTGACAAGCAAATCTTGAAAACACGTAGTAGAAAGCAAACGCTCTTTTGTGATAATGCGTTTTTGCTTTACATTACTTTTATATTATTTAAGAAAGTGACCCACGTGACCTATACATGCTGGTAACTTTTCTTTTTAAATTTGAAAGACTACTTTTTATTATATTTATATTCAATAAAATTTTTGTTCCAATATTTTTTATGAACGTAAAGTGAATAGCGATAAACAAGAAAAACAATCCCTGTATGTGGATATAATATCAACTTTAAAAGGTCAAATGTTGATTGCTTTCTATTTGTAAAAAAAATATTCGAGAATTTTATTATTTATTAAAACTGATTTCTTTTAATTTCTATTTCTAAAATGAAATGCATATAATGCAATGGAGCTTACGAAGATATGATATGATATAATATTGTATGTAACAAAATTCTAAAAATACCTAACCACTTGTATCTTCAAGCTCCATCTTTAATTTGAGACTTTTTGTAAACCCTTAGTCATCATCATAATATATATTCCATAATGCACAGGAGATTTTCAATATCCCCCTTTTTTATGATGGCAATTTAAACTCAAATTGAGAAGAGTAAGGGTTAGTAGCATAAGATATCAAAATCATGTAATCACATACTCCCCCTAAACATATGCATACTAAGAATTATTATGCTAATTAAAAATAAGGCATACATATGTTCTCAAAACTTCTCAAAAAAAACTCCCACTTACAATATGCATAAGCTTATAAGCTCAATTTGATGATATTCATATTTTCTCCCTCTTTGACATCATCAAAATCAATTATAGCATATAACAAGGATCAATGTTAGATAAGGCATATAACAAGCATATCATATATCCAAAAATTACCTATGTCTTGTTCCAAGTTTTGATTCTTTGTAACTCTTGGGCTTATCTAAGAGGTCCTTCAATTTGCTAGCATCTTTAATGTGATCTTCATCTTTTCATTCATTTTCAATTTCTCTCAAACACCTACAACATAATCCTCCACACTTGCCTTTCTAGGCATATTAGCAAGATCAAACATTTATCATATAAAACATGTAATCTAATTTACACAACAATTTTATATTTCATCAAAAATTGCCAATTGACATTTTATAAAGGAAGTGTTGCAAATGAGCTTGCTGTCCTATTTGGACAGAATTGAATATAAGAGTAAAACAAAAAAATTTCAAGTATATACGCATGAAGTGCATGAAGTAAGCTTTCTATCCACATATAGAACATGTATAACATAAGATGTGTTAAAAACAGTCTATGCATGTCATATTAACCACTAAATAGCAGCTAGACATCATATGCAAAATGATTTATAAAAAAAAAAAAAAAAAACAGTCCATGGCACATGAGGCATACATGCTCACTAAGTTTTCTTAGGAACATATATCATGTTCTTAACCTTGGGGCTAAAGAACATGCTAGATGTGTTAGGTTGAGGTCCATAAGATGTTGAAGCAATGTTGCTCACATTTATAGTCCTCTTAGGAACCCACTTAAGATTAGTTCCTTTTAGGGCATATTTTTTAATATTGCATTGATATACAAGATGATCACTCATGCAACATATATGTACATTTCTTAAATGGTAGTTTAGACATGGACCTAGGGGGATAATGGCTTGCCTTTCTTGGTTGAGCAAAGGGAGGTTTTTGAAAACCAAGTCCATGTTTAGTAGTCTCAACTCTTTGTCTACCAAGGAGGATGTTACATGGTTACTGGTCAGACCAGTGGGGTAACTGGTCGAACTGGTTGACCCGGATACATACATACATACATATATATATATATATATATATATATATATATATATATAATATAAATATGAACATATAAATTTAATTATATTCTCCATATCTAAAATGAGTTAAACAAAGTTCACTAAATAAGCACAAAAATTACTCAATCACACTTTTACAAGTTCATTTAAATTGCAATTTAGAATCCTCATAAGTATACCTCCAAATGACATTCAAAAGGCTAGATGTTGTGAACTCATATTTTTAAAATTCATCTACATTGAAATGATATATGTCACATTCTCTTAATTTATTGTTCCGCAAATTTCTTTAGTATTGGAAGTTGAAATTTGAGGTCATTATAAAAGAGTATACTACTAGCAAATAAAATTATAAATTTTTTTAAAATGAGTTCTATATTTTTTCTGATAAGATGAAATTATTTTGGAACCGATTCGATACTTGACTCGAACCGATCCGATGATCAATTCGTCGAATTCCGAGTCAACCGGACCGATTTCATACCAGTGGGCTTAACAATCAAATCTTCACAGAAGTGCATCATTTTACCAATTTGATTGGGTTTCGATATAGAAAACTAAATCAAATCATATCCTAAGAATGTGGAAAATCATATGAACTGGAATAAATCATATTACATTGCATAATGAATCATCTTTTTTTAATTTGTTTAAGAACTAAATCATTTTCCTAAAATGGTTGGTTTAAACAATCAAACAAAGTTATTGAATATACATATTGAATCGTTTCAAATTGTAAGATATATAAGCATAATAAAAATAATTTAAAAGTATATAATATAATTAATATCATATAATTCAAATTTCAAAAAGGATCTAATTAGCAAAATACATAAATTACTTAAGTGCAAATCAGTTATTCTTCTACTCATCAATCATTAAGACTAATATTATCACTACTCAATAACATAACTAATCTATCATCCTCTTCATCAGTGTAGTTATTAGACTTATCTCTCATTTCTTGTTCAACAATCTAATGTCCTTTTCCGTTATCTGCTAGATTGATTTTTGAATTTAAATCATATATCAAATCTTTTTTTTATTCATAATAATTTTTTTAATTTTTTTAATTTAAATCACAGATCTAATCTTTATTTTTGTATATTAAAAATTAAATTTTTTGATATTTTATTTTGAATTTTTTTTACAAATCACCAATTTTTTTATATTATTAATCTTTATAATACTTCCGATACAACTCTCTTTCCGATGCCCTTTCTCAATACATATCTCTAGGTTTATGAATTGTATCGTATGTACGATACATGATAAATATGCAACCAAGTTATTTTATAGATTTGGTTTGATATAGAAAATGAAACCAAAACCATGCTTCCCTCAAATTGTAGAGTTGATCGGCTAAATTATCCCTTTTATTTTTTTTTTATTAATCATTATACTTTTTAAATTATATATTAATCTGCTTTTATTTTATCAAAGTTGACCGTCATTTACTCGTTTAAATGTAAATTAAAGGACACTAAATTAGTTAAAATGACCAAATTGGCATTAAATTAACATTGAATTGAAAATTAATATTAAATTGAAAATTTTTGTTAAATTTATTAATTTAAATGATATTTAAAATCTAAAATAATTCTTGTCTGATGTAATCTTTTGAATCATTAAAAATTCGAAAACATAAATAAGAAAAGATAAATTAATAATCAATAATAATAATATAACTATGAACAATGATAATATGGTTATAGGCAATGTTGTTAAAATCGAGATTTTAAGTAAAATCAGAAGAGAGTTAAAAAATCGTAAAACATAAAATCGTAATGTAAAAAAATCGTAAAAAATCATAAAAACGTAAAAGTGTTTGGAATATTGGTAAAATCGTTTTGATGATAAAAAATCATGAAAACGTAAAATCGTAGTGATAAATCGAGATTTTAACAACTATGGTTATAGGTGATATTTCTAAATTCCTATAAATTAAAAATATTAAATTTATGTAATAATAATAATAATAATAATAATTCTTAGGACTATTCGAATAAATGAAGGTCGTTAATGGGTAAGTCATTTTCTCGAATAAATATTGGACAATGAATCGAGTCATGTCGGGTATAAAATTTAACTTTAAAATAGGGCCCATTTGTTCAATTAGCCCAAATTGTAGTGATGTATTTTACATCATAAAAAAAATCAACTAAGAAGTGCTTAAAATTTCACATGATGTTATTAAAATTTTGTATTTATATCTATTCATGAATGTTCACAAATTTTAATAAAACTTTATCTATTTGATACTTTGGGTCAGTGAAGTTAAAACTTGATCGGACTAGTCAATTTGACCAATTGAATCAAGAACCGGATGGTTAACGATTTCAATTAAACTAATGAATCAATTTTTTAAACGATTCAATATGAAATTAGTGAAATATTTAAAGATTGCAATCGTTGGGTATCAAACACGAGACTTCGTCGTGAATACAAGCAGTGTTAGATCTGAACATAATAATGTGAAAGTGTTACAATGTTACATATCTCTTTTCCCATGCATGCAATTATTAATTATACCTCCAATAAAATTGAAAGAAAAATATCAAAGCTGAAAGTATTAAGCTACAAGAGTATTAGGCAATCTGTCCAAAAGAAATATAATTTGAAAAATTTAACCAAAATATATATAGGAGAACAACTGTTGTAATATCTCGTGTCAGATAATAGTGATGTGCACAAAATTTGAGCCTTCCTGATTTGTTTGACCTTCGTGGAATTATTGTTGAGAAAGTGTGAAAGTGGTTGGAGTGATTGCTAAAAAAGTCAATGAAATGATTTGACATTATCTGTAGAATCAATGAACCACATAATTGACACTAACAAGAGTTACAAGTATTGTAATATCATGTTCTTAAACAATATAATATACATAGATAAATCAAATTGAAAAGATGAAAGTTTATCACCTAAAGCAAAAATGGTGCAGAATCTGCCTTGATTTTTTATGATCAAGTAAACTTTCCCTTCTACTCTTAAAATGCTTAGGAATGAATATATTTAATTAATTAATGGTGTTATATCATATTTTTTTATCAACAACTGCATGGTTATGAATATAGTAGTTAAAATTTTAATTTAAATCTGCGCTTTTACAATTTTACAATTTTTTTAATCAAAACGACTTAATCAAAATTCTAAATATTTTTATGTTTTTATGATTTCTTACAATTTTTTTTACAATTTTTTTTATCTTTCTTTTGATTTTAAGTAAAATTCTTATTTTAACTGCCATAGTCATGAATCATATTTACTAAAAACTTTAGGTAAAGATGAATTTATTGTTTTATATTAGAAATTAATTCTACGAACACATGCAGAGAATGAAACCCCATATCCAACCAAAACATAAAACGAGAGGCCAAGAAACAAGCTCAACTAGATTAACCTCCAAAACTCTCTCTCACTTCTCACTACCCACCAACAATGGTGGTTTTAAAGTCCATTTCACCATTATCATCTCTTCAAACCAATCTCACTACCCATTTCTTCAACCTTTCCTCGTCCTCCAAACTCACCTCATCATCATCTTCTTCTTCTCTTCTCTTTCTTGGCCACCATGTTCACCCCACAAGACGACCCTTTACCACTTCCAAAGTTGCAAGCTTCACTGTCAGAGCTTACATGGAGAATCAAAACTCTCTTTCCGTGCTCAAAATTCTATCTTTGTAACCTTAAATTTGATGAAGGTTGATAATGAATTATTTAACTTCCACCCCATAATCAAAATTTGATCTTGGGTTTTATAGTTAAACTTTATGAAGTTGATGTCATGCTCAAAATTCAATCTTTATAAACTTAAAATTGAATAATCAAAATGTGAATGTGAATATTGGGTTTTGTAGTTAAAACTTGTTGAGGCTGATTTCATGCTCAAAATTCAATCTTACTACCTTAAATTGTTTATTATCATTTTTTTTTTGTATTAGTTGGTTTTGATTTTCATGTGCTAAAATGGAATGGATGATGAAGGTGTATCTGACTTGGTGTTAATCTGTTGTGGGTAGGCAGGGGATCCTCTCTATGTTCTGCTATGCTGTTGGCTAGCAGCTCTTGGTGCAGGACTTCTCAAAACTGAGGAGATTTTGAAAGGGGTGGCTAGGCTCCGGATCTCGAATGACATTGAATTTGAGGAGCAGACTTTCATGGCCTTGATGAATGAGGCAAGAGAGGTTAGTCTCCATCTCCCTATGTATCACTTTGATTAATTTTAGTGTTTCAATCATTCAAAGCCATTCAGTTTTAATATTATGTTGCATTTCAAGTGGAACTTATTAGTTTGCAATTTGCCTTAGTTGACTTAGTCATTCTGAATATGTAATCTAAAGTCTAAACTCTAAACAATAAACACTAGTGCTCAAGCACTTGTTGACTTCAAACATGAGTCTTGGGACATTCTTGTCTAGGCATAGTCAGACACGAGTGGTAAAAAAAAAAAAAGCATACCTTTCTTGAGCCTGTAGCAATTTCATTGTGTATTATGTATCATCACCATTGTATTATGTGTAACATGGGGTCTTCCCAATAAAAGATTTAGGTTGCAGCACTGCTGGAACATCAGCTAGTTATTTCTTTTCATTCATTTTGTTTTGTTAGAAGTGCTATATCTTATCAACTGTACAGAGTGAGAAGAGGAAAAGTGTTCTGGATTGGCCAGATAGCCTTGCTCAGCCAGCCCATATGGTCGCTCAGCTAGGCCATCATATTGCTTAGCACGTAGAGTACATGACTCCCTTGTATATGTGTCCCCTCACACCTCCCCCGCACACATGACCTTTTAAACATCAAGGATCACGCAGCCTCACACCTGGTGGGATAGGGTTGGAAACGGTTATGGCATCACACTTTGCGCACTTGGAGGGAATATCCAACACGCTATATAAAGGGACTTTCGCTCCCTCATTTCCCCATCTTCTCCGTTTGCTTGTTTATTGTTGTTAATTTGTTGAAATCTCTCTCAAGCCATAACCTTAGCCTAGTTACACCTCCCTCTTTCACCCTTAGCTAGCCTAAGGCCAATATGGTGACTCTTCAGAGTTTTGGTTCATACCATTGTCTCTCTTGTGTCTGTCATATCAACATACTTCACCTTATATGCAGGGGCGGAGCCAGGGAAAAGACGCAGCCAATGCCAAAAGACCCAACTAGTGCTAATGTTGTATTATTTTTAAAAACCTAACCAATACCAAGGTTACACCATAACTTTTAAAGAAAATATGTAGCATTTTTAAAAGTCAATTGGTGTCAAGGCACTAGCTAGCTACTAAGTAGCTCCGCCATTGCTTATAGGAAACAAACCCATACCTCCATACTCTGATCAGTTCAAAAAGAAATTCCAAGATATTGACAGATGTTCTTGCTCTTTGTGTCACTAATGCTCCACCTGGATGCTTGATGCTTTGATTTTACTGAAGCTAAAAGTTTTATCTATCTGCCACTACCCTAACAACTCAAAAAATTATATTCCAAACTGTAGAGACGGGCAAAGATAAATGCTGCACCTCCTGCAATTCCAATGGAGACTCGAGTTGAGAAGGCTCTTGATGCTTTTTATGTGTGTTGCTTTGGAAAAGACCCTATAGAGGAAGAAGATGAGAGATTGTTGAGTTCAATGCTTAGTGCTGTTTTTCCATCAGTTAAGCCACAAGAGATCAAGCGCCTTGTGAAAGACAAGGCAGAGAAAGTAGCAGAAGGAGTTAACGATGATTATGTTACAGAGGCTAAGCCCCTATCAAAAGAAGCTGTGGAAATGCAAATGAATGACCTTAAGTTCCTTAGACAAAATAGTGAGACTTAACTATTGTGAAGCCTATGATTTTTAACACACAATGCATTGAATGAAATTACATTTTTTATTTCCAAAATCAACTAAAGAAGTTCAAACTCTACAATGTCAGTACATTTATTAATTATTAGGGTGCCTTCCTGATTTTTATGTGATCAACCAATGATCTTGACATTTGACAATGGAAAATTAAAAAGCCTAATACATTTTGCTTCACCCAAATTGGTTTGCTAGTTGGCCCTCCTTGACAATGTATTGTTATTCCAAAGCATCTTTACTGATTTTATTTTTAGTTTTTCATTTTAGTTCTAATTCTTTGAGGTATTAGAATGTGGTTAAATATAATTCTAACCACAATCCAGTCCTTCTTGGTCATCAGTGAAAATGTACTGACAAAGATCTCTGATTGGTCTTTTTCATTGTAGTTCTAAAACCACTGTTTGTTGAAAATGTAGAGAAGGAAAAGGGTTTAGGGAATATAAAAAAGGGTGTTAGTAAAAAATCAAATTTTAAATTTTAAAAAATCAGAACCAAAAGTTTGAATTCCATTTATTTTCTTTTTTTCAGATTTGAATTTAAATTGTAGGGTTGGATGTTTTTAGTATTTAAAATTGCATTTTTTATGGAAAAAAACAGAAATTTGTTGAATTCCACTTAATCAAGGTTAATAAAAATTCAAATTTTAAACTGCAAAAATAAATCAAATGTTATAATCAAATTTATTATTTTTATACATTCAAACAGTAGATTGGGTTCTTTCGAGTATTTAGAATATATTTTTATTTTTCAAAAGTTGTAAATTCTAGAATTACACTTAATCAAGGTTAAAAAAAATCCAAACTTTAATCTTTAAAAATAAGTACGAAATTTGTAGGTTGGGATTTTGTTGATTAGTACGAAATATTTTTTTTGGAAAACAAAAGTAAATTTTTGAATACCACTGAAAATGTTTGTTGAAGATGTAGAGAAGGAAAAGGGTTTAGGGAATATCAAAAAGGGTGTTAGTAAAAAATCAAATTTTAAATTTTAAAAAATCAGAACCGAAAGTCTGAATTCCATTTATTCTCTTTTTTTCAGATTTCAATTTAAATTGTAGGGTTGGATGTTTTTAGTATTTAAAATTGCATTTTTTATGGAAAAAAACATAAATTTGCTAAATTCCACTTAATCAAGGTTAATAAAAATTTAAATTTTAAACTGCAAAAATAAGGATCAAATGTTCTAATCAAATTTATTATTTTTATACATTCAAACCGTAGATTGGGTTCTTTCGAGTATTTAGAAAATATTTTTATTTTTCAAAAGTTGTAAATTCTAGAATTACACTGAATCAAGGTTAAAAAAAAATCCAAACTTTAAATTTTAAAAATAAGAAAGAAATTTGTAGGTTGGGATTTTGTTGATTAGTACGAAATCTTTTTTTTTTGGAAAACAAAAGTAAATTTTTGAATACCACTGAAAATGTTTGTTGAAAATGTAGAGAAGGAAAAGGGTTTAGGGAATATCAATAAGGGTGTTAGTAAAAAATCAAATTTTAAATTTTAAAAAATCAGAACCGAAAGTTTGAATTCCATTTATTTTCTTTTTTTTTTAGATTTGAATTTAAATTGTAGGGTTGGATGTTTTTAGTATTTAAAAATGCATTTTTTATGGAAAAAAACAAACATTTGTTGAATTCCACTTAATCAAGGTTAATAAAAATTCAAATTTTAAACTGAAAAAATAAGGAACAAATATTTTAATCAAATTTATTATTTTTATACATTTAAGCCGTAGGATGGGTTATTTCGAGTAATTAGAAAATATTTTTAATTTTTCCATTGATTTATTTTCCAAAACCAAATGGATGATTAAAACCGAATGGATGATTACAAGGGATTGGATCGGATAATTTTAATTTCCAAAACCACCGATACAATCGAGACTATACAAAAGATATTATTTGTATAATAATCATAAAACTGATTACAAGGGATTGGATCGGATAATTTTAATTTCCAAAATCACCGATACAATCCAGACTATACAAAAGATATTATTTGTATAATAATCATAAAAACTGAATGGATGATTACAAGGGATTGGATGGGATAATTTTTATTTTCATAATCACCGATCCAATCCAGACTGCGAACCCCTCTATAAATTAAAAAAAAAAGAGGCTACAAACATTATAGACTCCGTGACCGAATTTCGTGGTTAGACACCTTTTTGTTTTTTTGCTTGCATTTGAAAGCCGTAAGTAACCTTTTAAATCGATTAATAAAGATGGGTGGTTGCTTTAGCAATAGGAGGATTAAGGGTGTGAGCCCTTCTTCCATTACAGGTCGGTCGGTCACCTTCTTCTTTTCTTTTTGACTTTTGCATCTTCATTTTATTTTATTTTATTTTTTGTTTGTTTTCTGTCGTCAATATGTGAATGAGCGAGCTAATTAACCTTTTTGACTTGCATGTTCTTGGCATGGCATTGATGTAGGGTTCACTTCTAGTTCTAGAAGTGTACGTGTAAACGTAAGCAGGAGGAGTGGCCATGACATCAGCTCCTCAAATAATAGCAGCAGTAATTCATCATCAGCCTCCATATCTGTCACTACTACTTCTAGAAGTGACGATGAGATCTTGCAGCAATCTTCCAATTTGAAAAGCTTCAGCTACAGTGAACTAAGAGCAGCCACAAGAAATTTCCGCCGAGATAGTGTCTTAGGGCAGGGTGGATTTGGTTCTGTTTTTAAGGGCTGGATTGATGAGCATTCACTTGCTCCTACCAAACCAGGAATCGGCATGATTGTTGCTGTAAAGAGGCTTAACCAAGAGGGCTTCCAGGGTCACAAAGAATGGTTGGTTAGTATCAATTCAATATTATTATTCTAATCTTCAGTTTCCTCTCCTCTCCTCTCTGATGCATATTATTATTATTCTAATCTTCAGGCTGAAATCAACTATCTTGGGCATCTGCAGCATCCTAATCTTGTCAAGTTAATAGGATACTGCTTCGAGGATCAGCATCGGCTTCTGGTTTATGAATTTATGCCTAAGGGCAGCATGGACAATCATCTCTTCAGAAGTTACTACCTTACCTTCTATTTTAGTCGTCGACTAATTCTTTTTGTTCCCATTAAAAGATTTTTTTTTATTTATTTATTATTATTTAAAGTTCAATTGTAAGTTCTAATCTAATACTAATATGTTGCCTGAAATCATCATTAATGCAGGAGGTTCTTATTATCAGTCATTCTCTTGGAGTTTACGATTGGAAATAGCCCTTGAGGCTGCAAGGTGTCTCGCTTTTCTCCATAGTACAGAACCTAAAGTCATATACCGTGACTAAAACTTCAAATATCCTACTTGATGCTGTATGTACATAATTCCAACTTTAGCATGTCCTGTTATGGTTGAATATGATGCATTTATTACTTGATTACTAAAATGCTTCATCACATGGTGCTTTGCAGAACTATAAGCCCAAACTCTCTGATTTTGGTTTGGCCAGAGATGGGCCAACTGGTGATAAAACCCATGTCTCTACTAGGGTCATCGGAACCCGTGGATATGTGGCACCGGAGTATCTTGCAACAGGTATGGTATTATCTCTGGTGTATTGTATTCCTAATTAGTTTTTAGTTTTACATATTAATATGCAAACAAGGAAGTGATGCCTGTTATATTTTCATAACTGGATTTTTTTTTGTTCTGCTAGGTCATCTCACTGCAAAGAGTGATGTATATAGTTTCGGAGTAGTTCTTCTCGAAATAATATCAGGAAGACGAGCTATAGACAATAACAAACCACCTGGAGAACATAACCTAGTTGAATGGGCCAAACCTTACCTATCCAACAAACGCCGAGTTTTTCGAGTAATGGATCCGCGTCTTGAGGGACAATATTCCCATACTCGAGCTCAAGCAGCAGCCACACTTGCTTTGCAATGTCTTGCTGCAGTACCTAAAAGCAGGCCAAATATGGATGAAGTGGTAAGAGCATTAGAGCTGCTTCAGGAACCAAAGGACATGCAGAAAAAAAATTGTCTTCAGAAAGAGCATCGCGAACGCAGTTCTGCACTCGGCCATCCCAACGGCCGCCCTACTGCTGACAAAGGTAGTGCAGATGCTCCCAGAAAGGCTTCTGCTTATCCTAGGCCTGAGTTTTGTGATGTGGCCAGTTGTTGTAGGAAGAACGTAAAAAGTTCAGAGATATAGGTTTGGCTTGAGCCATAAATATGTTAGCTGTGTATAGTTTCTGTTATTTATATCTTGGTATTTTTAGCTAAACTAGCGAGTCTATTTTTAGCTAATAGCCTTTCTATTGGCCACTTCTGATTCTTTGAATTTTTTTTAGCGAGTCTATCACAATTATCTATGGTGATAAGCATCTAGGGAAGTTGAATAAGGTGTCTGTTTCCACCCTCAAAAAGCAATTAAAACAGCTGAGTCATTCCATTTCAAAATTTAAAATTCAGATGAGCAATTCCAATGTAAAAAGCAATTGAATCAGCTGACCAATTCCAATGAGTTGCCTGTAAGGCTGTCAACATTAAATAAGTTGCCTCTCACCATTCAAAATTCAAAAATCAAATTTAAAATTTCAAGTTAAATTTCAAATTCAAATTTGGAAATTAAAAGAGCAGTCAGATATACATTAATGAGCTATCTGCCACCAACATTTACAACAAATCTTGACCATTGATTTAAATCAAAAAATCTTGTCCATCGAATTCATCTTGAAAAATTGATTTTGTTTTATATTTATTTTATTAACTGATTTACCAAAGAAGGAAAGGTTTTTCAAATTATGTAATGTGAACACAAAGCTGAAAGTGAAGGAGAAAGCGACACATCAGCAAACTTGCCAAAGTTTGAATTCCATTTATTTTCTTTTTTTTAGATTTAAATGTAAATTGTAGGTTTGGATTTTTTTAGTAGTTATAATTACGATTTTTATGGAAAAAAAACATAAATTTGTTGAATTCCACTTAATCAAGGTTAATAAAAATTCAAATTTTAAACTGCAAAAATAAGGATCAAATGTTCTAATCAAATTTATTATTTTTATACATTCAAACCGTAGATTGGGTTCTTTCGAGTATTTAGAAAATATTTTTATTTTTCAAAAGTTGTAAATTTATAATTACACTGAATCAAGGTTAAAAAAAATCCAAACTTTAAATTTTAAAAATAAGTAAGAAATTTGTAGGTTGCGATTTTGTTGATTAGTACGAAATATTTTTTTTTTTGGAAAACAAAAGTAAATTTTTAAATACCACTGAAAATGTTTGTTGAAAATGTAGAGAAGGAAAAAGGTTTAGGGAATATCAATAAGGGTGTTGGTAAAAAATTAAATTTTAAATTTTAAAAAATCAGAACCGAAAGTTTGAATTCCATTTATTTTCTTTTTTTTAGATTTGAATTTAAATTGTAGGGTTGGATGTTTTTAGTAGTTATAATTGCAATTTTTATGGAAAAAAACATAAATTTGTTGAATTCCACTTAATCAAGGTTAATAAAAATTCAAATTTTAAACTGCAAAAATAAGGATCAAATGTTCTAATCAAATTTATTATTTTTATACATTCAAACCGTAGAGTGGGTTCTTTCGAGTATTTAGAAAATATTTTTATTTTTCAAAAGTTGTAAATTTTAGAATTACACTGAATCAAGGTTAAAAAAAATCCGAACTTTAAATTTTAAAAATAAGTACGAAATTTGTTATTTTTTTTGGAAAACAAAAGAATTTTTTTGAATACCACTGAATCAGGATAATAAAAATCCATATTTCGATGCCATAGATTTAAATGAGTTGCCTGTCACCATTCATAATTAAAAAAAATCAAATTTAAAATTTCAAGTTAAAATTCAAATTCAAATTTTGAAATTAAAAGAGCTGTCAGATATACATTAATGAGTTGTCTGCCACCAATATTTATAACAAATCTTGACCATTGATTTAAATCAAAAAAGGTTGTCCATCGAATTAATCTTGAAAAATTGATATTGTTTTATATTTATTTTGTTTTATTCACTGATTTACCAAAGAAGGAAAGGTTTTTATAATTCTATAGTGTGAACACAAAGCTGAAAGTGAAGGAGAAAGCGACAACTCAGCAAACTTGCCCAAGAATGGAATTCCTTTAAATTAGCTGACCCAAAACTTTCGAAAACTTTTCCCACCATCCATATTTTAAATTCAAAATTTGAAACCATTTCAAAATTCAAATTTATTGATCAGATGAACAATTTCAATGTAAAAAGCAATTAAAATAGCTGAGTCAATCCATTTCAAAATTTAAAATTTAGATGAGCAATTCCAATTTAAATAGCATTTAAATCAGCTGACCAATTCCAATGAGTTGCCTGTAAGGCTGTCATCATTAAATAAGTTGCCTTTCACCATTCAGAATTCAAAAATCAAATTTAAAATTTCAAGTTAAATTTCAAATTCAAATTTGGAAATTAAAAGACCAGTCAGATATACATTAATGAGTTGTCTGCCACCAACATTTATAACAAATCTTGACCATTGATTTAAATCAAAAAATCTTGTCCATCGAATTAATCTTGAAAAATTGATTTTGTTTTATATTTATTTTATTTTATTCACTGATTTACCAAAGAAGGAAAGGTTTTTATAATTCTGTAGTGTGAACACAAAGCTGAAAGTGAAGGAGAAAGCGACACATCAGCAAACTTGCCAAAGAATGGAATTCCTTTAAATTAGATGACCCAAAACTTTCCAAATCTTTTCCCACCATCCATATTTTAAATTCAAAATTCAAATTTATTGATCAGATGAACAATTTCAATGTAAAAAGCAATTAAAACAGCTGAGTCATTCCATTTCAAAATTTAAAATTCAGATGAGCAATTCCAATGTAAAAAGCAATTGAATCAGCTGACCAATTCCAATGAGTTGCCTGTAAGGCTGTCAACATTAAATAAGTTGCCTCTCACCATTCAGAATTCAAAAATCAAATTTAAAATTTCAAGTTAAATTTCAAATTCAAATTTGGAAATTAAAAGAGCAATCATATATACATTAATGAGCTATCTGCCACCAACATTTACAACAAATCTTGACCATTGATTTAAATCAAAAAATCTTGTCCATCGAATTCATCTTGAAAAATTGATTTTGTTTTATATTTATTTTATTAACTGATTTATCAAAGAAGGAAAGGTTTTTCAAATTCTGTAATGTGAACACAAAGCTGAAAGTGAAGGAGAAAGCGACACGTCAGCAAACTTGACAAAGTTTGAATTCCATTTATTTTCATTTTTTCAGATTTGAATTTAAATTGTAGGTTTGGATGTTTTTAATAGTTATAATTGCTGTTTTTATGAAAAAAAAAAACAAAAATTTGCTGAATTCCACTTAATCAAGGTTATTAAAAATTCAAATTTTAAACTGCAAAAATAAGGATAAAATGTTCTAATCAAATTTATTATTTTTATACATTCAAACCGTAGATTGGTTTCTTTCGAGTATTTAGAAAATATTTTTATTTTTCAAAAGTTGTAAATTTTAGAATTACGCTGAATCAAGGTTAAAAAAAAATCCAAACTTTAAATTTTAAAAATAAGAAAGAAATTTGTAGGTTGGGATTTTGTTGATTAGTACGAAATCTTTTTTTTTTGGAAAACAAAAGTAAATTTTTGAATACCACTGAAAATGTTTGTTGAAAATGTAGAGAAGGAAAAGGGTTTAGGGAATATCAATAAGGGTGTTAGTAAAAAATCAAATTTTAAATTTTAAAAAATCAGAACCGAAAGTTTGAATTCCATTTATTTTCTTTTTTTTTTAGATTTGAATTTAAATTGTAGGGTTGGATGTTTTTAGTATTTAAAAATGCATTTTTTATGGAAAAAAACAAACATTTGTTGAATTCCACTTAATCAAGGTTAATAAAAATTCAAATTTTAAACTGAAAAAATAAGGAACAAATATTTTAATCAAATTTATTATTTTTATACATTTAAGCCGTAGGATGGGTTATTTCGAGTAATTAGAAAATATTTTTAATTTTTCCATTGATTTATTTTCCAAAACCAAATGGATGATTAAAACCGAATGGATGATTACAAGGGATTGGATCGGATAATTTTAATTTCCAAAACCACCGATACAATCGAGACTATACAAAAGATATTATTTGTATAATAATCATAAAACTGATTACAAGGGATTGGATCGGATAATTTTAATTTCCAAAATCACCGATACAATCCAGACTATACAAAAGATATTATTTGTATAATAATCATAAAAACTGAATGGATGATTACAAGGGATTGGATGGGATAATTTTTATTTTCATAATCACCGATCCAATCCAGACTGCGAACCCCTCTATAAATTAAAAAAAAAAGAGGCTACAAACATTATAGACTCCGTGACCGAATTTCGTGGTTAGACACCTTTTTGTTTTTTTGCTTGCATTTGAAAGCCGTAAGTAACCTTTTAAATCGATTAATAAAGATGGGTGGTTGCTTTAGCAATAGGAGGATTAAGGGTGTGAGCCCTTCTTCCATTACAGGTCGGTCGGTCACCTTCTTCTTTTCTTTTTGACTTTTGCATCTTCATTTTATTTTATTTTATTTTTTGTTTGTTTTCTGTCGTCAATATGTGAATGAGCGAGCTAATTAACCTTTTTGACTTGCATGTTCTTGGCATGGCATTGATGTAGGGTTCACTTCTAGTTCTAGAAGTGTACGTGTAAACGTAAGCAGGAGGAGTGGCCATGACATCAGCTCCTCAAATAATAGCAGCAGTAATTCATCATCAGCCTCCATATCTGTCACTACTACTTCTAGAAGTGACGATGAGATCTTGCAGCAATCTTCCAATTTGAAAAGCTTCAGCTACAGTGAACTAAGAGCAGCCACAAGAAATTTCCGCCGAGATAGTGTCTTAGGGCAGGGTGGATTTGGTTCTGTTTTTAAGGGCTGGATTGATGAGCATTCACTTGCTCCTACCAAACCAGGAATCGGCATGATTGTTGCTGTAAAGAGGCTTAACCAAGAGGGCTTCCAGGGTCACAAAGAATGGTTGGTTAGTATCAATTCAATATTATTATTCTAATCTTCAGTTTCCTCTCCTCTCCTCTCTGATGCATATTATTATTATTCTAATCTTCAGGCTGAAATCAACTATCTTGGGCATCTGCAGCATCCTAATCTTGTCAAGTTAATAGGATACTGCTTCGAGGATCAGCATCGGCTTCTGGTTTATGAATTTATGCCTAAGGGCAGCATGGACAATCATCTCTTCAGAAGTTACTACCTTACCTTCTATTTTAGTCGTCGACTAATTCTTTTTGTTCCCATTAAAAGATTTTTTTTTATTTATTTATTATTATTTAAAGTTCAATTGTAAGTTCTAATCTAATACTAATATGTTGCCTGAAATCATCATTAATGCAGGAGGTTCTTATTATCAGTCATTCTCTTGGAGTTTACGATTGGAAATAGCCCTTGAGGCTGCAAGGTGTCTCGCTTTTCTCCATAGTACAGAACCTAAAGTCATATACCGTGACTTTAAAACTTCAAATATCCTACTTGATGCTGTATGTACATAATTCCAACTTTAGCATGTCCTGTTATGGTTGAATATGATGCATTTATTACTTGATTACTAAAATGCTTCATCACATGGTGCTTTGCAGAACTATAAGCCCAAACTCTCTGATTTTGGGTTGGCCAGAGATGGGCCAACTGGTGATAAAACCCATGTCTCTACTAGGGTCATCGGAACCCGTGGATATGTGGCACCGGAGTATCTTGCAACAGGTATGGTATTATCTCTGGTGTATTGTATTCCTAATTAGTTTTTAGTTTTACATATTAATATGCAAACAAGGAAGTGATGCCTGTTATATTTTCATAACTGGATTTTTTTTTGTTCTGCTAGGTCATCTCACTGCAAAGAGTGATGTATATAGTTTCGGAGTAGTTCTTCTCGAAATAATATCAGGAAGACGAGCTATAGACAATAACAAACCACCTGGAGAACATAACCTAGTTGAATGGGCCAAACCTTACCTATCCAACAAACGCCGAGTTTTTCGAGTAATGGATCCGCGTCTTGAGGGACAATATTCCCATACTCGAGCTCAAGCAGCAGCCACACTTGCTTTGCAATGTCTTGCTGCAGTACCTAAAAGCAGGCCAAATATGGATGAAGTGGTAAGAGCATTAGAGCTGCTTCAGGAACCAAAGGACATGCAGAAAAAAAATTGTCTTCAGAAAGAGCATCGCGAACGCAGTTCTGCACTCGGCCATCCCAACGGCCGCCCTACTGCTGACAAAGGTAGTGCAGATGCTCCCAGAAAGGCTTCTGCTTATCCTAGGCCTGAGTTTTGTGATGTGGCCAGTTGTTGTAGGAAGAACGTAAAAAGTTCAGAGATATAGGTTTGGCTTGAGCCATAAATATGTTAGCTGTGTATAGTTTCTGTTATTTATATCTTGGTATTTTTAGCTAAACTAGCGAGTCTATTTTTAGCTAATAGCCTTTCTATTGGCCACTTCTGATTCTTTGAATTTTTTTTAGCGAGTCTATCACAATTATCTATGGTGATAAGCATCTAGGGAAGTTGAATAAGGTGTCTGTTTCCACCCTCAAAAAGCAATTAAAACAGCTGAGTCATTCCATTTCAAAATTTAAAATTCAGATGAGCAATTCCAATGTAAAAAGCAATTGAATCAGCTGACCAATTCCAATGAGTTGCCTGTAAGGCTGTCAACATTAAATAAGTTGCCTCTCACCATTCAAAATTCAAAAATCAAATTTAAAATTTCAAGTTAAATTTCAAATTCAAATTTGGAAATTAAAAGAGCAGTCAGATATACATTAATGAGCTATCTGCCACCAACATTTACAACAAATCTTGACCATTGATTTAAATCAAAAAATCTTGTCCATCGAATTCATCTTGAAAAATTGATTTTGTTTTATATTTATTTTATTAACTGATTTACCAAAGAAGGAAAGGTTTTTCAAATTATGTAATGTGAACACAAAGCTGAAAGTGAAGGAGAAAGCGACACATCAGCAAACTTGCCAAAGTTTGAATTCCATTTATTTTCTTTTTTTTAGATTTAAATGTAAATTGTAGGTTTGGATTTTTTTAGTAGTTATAATTACGATTTTTATGGAAAAAAAACATAAATTTGTTGAATTCCACTTAATCAAGGTTAATAAAAATTCAAATTTTAAACTGCAAAAATAAGGATCAAATGTTCTAATCAAATTTATTATTTTTATACATTCAAACCGTAGATTGGGTTCTTTCGAGTATTTAGAAAATATTTTTATTTTTCAAAAGTTGTAAATTTATAATTACACTGAATCAAGGTTAAAAAAAATCCAAACTTTAAATTTTAAAAATAAGTAAGAAATTTGTAGGTTGCGATTTTGTTGATTAGTACGAAATATTTTTTTTTTTGGAAAACAAAAGTAAATTTTTAAATACCACTGAAAATGTTTGTTGAAAATGTAGAGAAGGAAAAAGGTTTAGGGAATATCAATAAGGGTGTTGGTAAAAAATTAAATTTTAAATTTTAAAAAATCAGAACCGAAAGTTTGAATTCCATTTATTTTCTTTTTTTTAGATTTGAATTTAAATTGTAGGGTTGGATGTTTTTAGTAGTTATAATTGCAATTTTTATGGAAAAAAACATAAATTTGTTGAATTCCACTTAATCAAGGTTAATAAAAATTCAAATTTTAAACTGCAAAAATAAGGATCAAATGTTCTAATCAAATTTATTATTTTTATACATTCAAACCGTAGAGTGGGTTCTTTCGAGTATTTAGAAAATATTTTTATTTTTCAAAAGTTGTAAATTTTAGAATTACACTGAATCAAGGTTAAAAAAAATCCGAACTTTAAATTTTAAAAATAAGTACGAAATTTGTTATTTTTTTTGGAAAACAAAAGAATTTTTTTGAATACCACTGAATCAGGATAATAAAAATCCATATTTCGATGCCATAGATTTAAATGAGTTGCCTGTCACCATTCATAATTAAAAAATCAAATTTAAAATTTCAAGTTAAAATTCAAATTCAAATTTTGAAATTAAAAGAGCTGTCAGATATACATTAATGAGTTGTCTGCCACCAATATTTATAACAAATCTTGACCATTGATTTAAATCAAAAAAGGTTGTCCATCGAATTAATCTTGAAAAATTGATATTGTTTTATATTTATTTTGTTTTATTCACTGATTTACCAAAGAAGGAAAGGTTTTTATAATTCTATAGTGTGAACACAAAGCTGAAAGTGAAGGAGAAAGCGACAACTCAGCAAACTTGCCCAAGAATGGAATTCCTTTAAATTAGCTGACCCAAAACTTTCGAAAACTTTTCCCACCATCCATATTTTAAATTCAAAATTTGGAATTAATCTTGAAAAATTGATTTTGTTTTATATTTATTTTATTTTATTCACTGATTTACCAAAGAAGGAAAGGTTTTTATAATTCTGTAGTGTGAACACAAAGCTGAAAGTGAAGGAGAAAGCGACACATCAGCAAACTTGCCAAAGAATGGAATTCCTTTAAATTAGATGACCCAAAACTTTCCAAATCTTTTCCCACCATCCATATTTTAAATTCAAAATTCAAATTTATTGATCAGATGAACAATTTCAATGTAAAAAGCAATTAAAACAGCTGAGTCATTCCATTTCAAAATTTAAAATTCAGATGAGCAATTCCAATGTAAAAAGCAATTGAATCAGCTGACCAATTCCAATGAGTTGCCTGTAAGGCTGTCAACATTAAATAAGTTGCCTCTCACCATTCAGAATTCAAAAATCAAATTTAAAATTTCAAGTTAAATTTCAAATTCAAATTTGGAAATTAAAAGAGCAATCATATATACATTAATGAGCTATCTGCCACCAACATTTACAACAAATCTTGACCATTGATTTAAATCAAAAAATCTTGTCCATCGAATTCATCTTGAAAAATTGATTTTGTTTTATATTTATTTTATTAACTGATTTATCAAAGAAGGAAAGGTTTTTCAAATTCTGTAATGTGAACACAAAGCTGAAAGTGAAGGAGAAAGCGACACATCAGCAAACTTGCCAAAGTTTGAATTCCATTTATTTTCTTTTTTTTTAGATTTGAATGTAAATTGTAGGTTTGGATTTTTTTAGTAGTTATAATTGATGTTTTTATGAAAAAAAAAAACAAAAATTTGCTGACTTGCACTTAATCAAGGTTATTAAAAATTCAAATTTTAAACTGCAAAAATAAGGAT